CAGCGAACAACACTTAGAATTGAAAAAAAATCTATTGCTTAATCTTAAAGTGATCACAGAACCTGTCACCTTCAGGTAAGAATTACTATAATTTAACTCATCAATTTATCAATGGTAAAGAGGCTCATATCACAGGGCTTTGGTATCAAAGAAAAACCAATCAACTTTGCACAAAAAGATTGATTGATAAGAGTGGCATGGTTTTACCCTCTAATACTGAGAGGTGATGACCTCTTTCTGACAGGACTTGAAGTATTTTTAAATTCTGTGTAGGGGAGCTACCCCTCTCCAAAGAGCCACTATGAACTTCTACAGACTACCACCAGTTCATGTGGCTTTTGGGCAGGTGTTAGGATGAATACATGGTTAAAAACGAGATTGGTTGGTGACAGGAATCTGGTATAAGGAAGTTTAGTCAGTGCCTAGGGCTTGGTCAAAGTTTCTTTTCTTTCCTCTTCTTTTTTTATTAAGTCATCGATTTACCAAACCTAAAGACAAAGGAGACAACACTCTGCTAACTTAGCGATAGGATAGATGAAACGTGTTGTAACATATAAGTTTGTTCAAAGGAAGCTTTAAGGACAAGTCTCATTACACCCTCACCTTTTTTTTGGTTATATTTTTTTGTTGTTCTGAAACATAGCTGTTATGGAAATAAAGGGGGTAAGTTCCTAAAGAAGCTGTGGTGCTGTGTTGGTGGGAGAATTTAACATGGTAATTTTGTATTATCAACTGAGTTAATAAAGTGAATTAGCAACTGTAAAAAACTGCAAACTGAAGCTTCAAGAGTTAGCCCTTGGTCATTTGCTCCAATGGAAGCTAATGCTCAAAACATCAGCTTTGTGACTCTTTATGGTGACCAATCTGATAATACCAAATTACCCTGTCATAACTGTTATTGCTGGTCTTATTTTCAGGGTGAAAGTTGCAGAAAAAGGTAGTGTATGGAAACTACCGGAAGCAGCCGCCTACATCACATTTCATGAGGGAGCTGTGCCAAAACCTTTGTTATTTACTTGTTCAGTATTGCCTCCTAAACTTTGCAGTCCACCCATTTCTGGTGATGAGGTTTTGGTGAGCAATGTGATTGAACTATCACATGATGGTTCACCAGATCTAGAGTTTAGTGGAGATGATGAAGGAAAAGTAACTGTGGCTTTGTTGCACAGCGCAAGTGATTTAAAGGGCTATGAAGTGGTTATCAAGCAATTGGTGGATCCACTCAACAACAAATGGAAGGATTTGAAGACTTGGCATGCATCAGGTACAGGTTACATGTCATTCATGATTATTGTTAATGAGCTTTTGGATAGTGCTGCAAAACCAAAATCAAAGCATGAACTGTGATCATAACAGCTAATAGGAAGAAAGGAAATACTTTTACGAGCCAATGAGAACTCAAAGTAAAAGCGAGCAAACTGCCTAAAGTGCAGGACCAAATCTCGATTTATTTTATTTTTGCTTATGATTGGTTGAGAGAGTGGCACAAGTTTTCCGAACCAATCAGAGAGCAGAGGAAAGCAAAAAAAATAATTCCTGCATTACTTCCAACATTCAATTGAAAATTGCTCTTATCGACTATTGATTGTGAGGTCTGAAAACCTGGGTGAGGTTGTGTAGTCCTAAAAAAAACTTATTTCGTTGACAGTTTGTTGCATTTTGTTAACCTGAGCAGAAGTCATCATCAAAGTCCAGTGTGAAGTTGTTTGTAACTCAAATATTGTATGTGTGATCGAGATTGTTGGGTTCAGTGCAGGTTGAATCATCTACTAGTTCATTGGTATCTTTCATCCTTTATTGGGTTGTTTTGTTTTTGCAACGGTTGTTCTCATTCTTCCACCCTCTAATACCCCATTCACACCAGCAAAACATGTTTTGTTAAACTGGTTTTCATTGAATGAAAATTATAAACAGAGCACTGAAAAACTTGATTTTCCATTGGATTCAAGTACTTGCTAACTTGCATTTCCAATGTGCTACATTCAAGTCAAAAATATTCGGTTAAATAGTTTCTAAAAAGAAAAAAAAAATTAAACTGTGTTTAACAAAACAACTTTTAAACATGTTTAAGCTTTGGTGTGAATGCGGCATAAGACTTACAGCCGATGACACCATGGCAAAACTGACCAATCAGTTTTCATGAATCAGACTTGTATGTTTGACTTACAAGCAACTTTTTGTGAGAAATTGATGATGGCTTCCCCAAAGGTTGCTGAAACATCAGTCTTTTTCAATTCACATGTGAAGTGCCAGACTTTCCAGACATACAAGTTGAAGTTCCTCTCACTTCTGTACCTGTTGATCAGGATTTTACATGGACAATCAAGGTACAGGAAAACCCCTCTAACTTGCTTGATTAACTGGAATCCCCTGCTAACTTAAACAAGATCTTCCCTGGATTTGATCTCATTTTTCCAGTCATTTACTGCTAGCTGACTTAAACTCCGTTACTTAGAACTTCCCGTCAACTCAAACTAATTTGACTTTCCCTTTGCTCAAATTTACACTGATAACTTGAACTTAAAGCAGAAATATCTGTCCTAACCTTTAATCACAATTGATATGAATGTGATAACATTTATAAAAACAAAATGCATTAAGCTTTATTTCTCAAACTAAATGTTCTTATAGAGAACCACTTAATACAAACTACATATGAGAAAGTGACTGTTGATTATGCAAGAATAGTGATAACATGATTCCATATTAATTATTAATAGGATGAATCAAAATCAACACCAAGTCATTCGAATTCCTGCTAAATTGAAGCAGTTTTTGTTTCCCTTGGGAGTTTTAGTTAGGGGGGTTATATTGTATTATCTGTCACGTGGTAGAATTCTTATGAAACTTCACTGTGGGGTACATTCAGTGACAACACTCTTGACCATTTGCATTTTTGCTTTTCTCTTATTTGATCAAACAGAAAATGCTCAAAATCAGACTCAGATTTTCAAAATTAAAATTAGATTTTTCTTTTGTCCTAATTCAGAGGCAAATGACTTTAAGATGTTCGCATGTGTTTGTTAATGATATAGCTACACTTGCATCTCTCCATAAAACATGCATCTAAATAAAACTTCCCACAGATGTAACTTTTAAAAGGATGATTTTTCTTTACTCAAGGACGTTTGAAAAATTTATCTCTATCTTGATCTGAGAAAGAACATCGTTTATATTTATGTAATTCAATAAAAGTTAATACCTATTCTGACTGCTTTTTCATCCAAGGTACAAGAATTTCCAAACAATGAGGTTGAAAAAATTGGGATGCTGTGCAGTCCAGTCATTCATATTTCAAGCTCTCAGAACATTGTTCATATGACAATCAAGGTTCCCCTCGCCCTTCGGGAAAGTAAGCATGACTTCTCAAAGCTTTCAAATGACGTCATAAGGATATTATACCTTGACTCAGAGGGCAAACCATGGAACACTAGCTGGAAAGATATCACAGGTCAACTAGAAGGGCCACTTACTCTTAAAGATGGAAATGTAGAATTCAAGGTGAAGCATTTCTGCCGGTGAGTTATGTTAAATCTTTAGTTTAGTCACAGAGGAAAAGATTTCATATTGATTTTTAAATTCAATCAATAGCCAGGCTGTTTGTCACATTAGCCTAGTTTTCAGCCCCTAGTTAAATGATATCCTTGGTGGCAGCACTCCCAGTGATAATTCTTCAGAGCATGCCTTTAATTTGTTACTGACAGGGTAAGTTGGTAATGAGCCACACTGCAGCACACAAGGTGGAGGGTTCTCACAGAGAAATGGACTAACATTAAGCATATTGAGAAAAATTGAGAAGTGTGGGCTACCTTTTTTATATCATTGAGAAATGATTAGACTAGCTAGTCTTCTCGAATAATGGCTATTAAGCAGGTTTTTCAAAAACAGAAAAAGCTGCTTAGCAGTAGTCTTCTGCTGCCTAAAAGACCATTTACTGCCATATGTTGATACAACAAGCAAGCTCTCTCAATATGGACATGTCTGTGAGTGAGACAGCCTTCCATGTCTTCAAACACTAAGGATCATTTTTGAGTAAGATGTTGCAGTTTATTCATGTTTTTACTTTTTTTTGCAGATTCTGTCCAGCACCCATAAGACCCACACCACAAGATGTACATTTTCTTGTTTGTTTAAGTGAGACAACAGTTCCTGATACTTACGCAATTTTACTCCACTGTTACCCAAGCTTTAAAAGAGATGAGGTTGAAAAGGAATTGTCAAGATACAACATACCTTACAAAGGTGAAGGAATGTCGAAAGAGCCTGTATGTGTCGGGGATGAAATAGTGGTTTCCCTAGTAGGAGTTGATTTTGTGCAGGAGTCTCAAAGGAATGAAAAGTTAGTTCTCAGGTAAGTTATTGATTTCCTTTGGAAAGTTTGTCATGATAAAGTATGGTAAGGCTTAAAGAGGCTTGACTAACCAAATTCAGTACCTCTTAACACTCTAACTCCCACGATATGCTTGTTAACTCTCCCCTCTGGTTGCAACAGATTTCCTTGTAAATTTGGTGTAAATTTGGTGTTTGACCAAGATTACAACTTCTACCCGATAAGTTTGAGTATTTTCATTACTTGTTTGCAGGATAATATGTGGATATTATAGGGAGATTAATTTAGTTAGTACATGTTAATCACTCGTGGGAGTAAAGGGGTTTAAAGGAAAACAACAAACCTTGCAGGTTTTATACATTTTTATGAATTGCTTCTATAGATCACTGACATTTCTAATAGTTTGTTTATTTATTTATTCAATTATCTTGTTAGAAAGTTAGTTAGGTATATATTTAAACTTTGAATAATGCATAGGGTACTTGTAGGATAAATAACTTCATTCATTAGTTTTTGTACAAGTTACATACTGGTAGCAGGGTTAAAGATCTGCATTCATTGTGTTGAACATGAGTGGGGAGTAGGTGTTGGGAGGCAGCCAGCATGAAGTAGGGAAGTAGAGATAAAATGAAACCCATGCAATCCAGCAAGAAATGTTTATTTGGTTTCAACTTTTCAGGTTTCTTGGAAATGATGTATCTGACAACAGAGACATGGCTTTGATTGTTCACTTGGACAGTGAAAGTGCTGCAACAGTGAAGTTCTGCAAAGACAAAGAGCTGCAAAAACTACTCTGTGAAGTGCCGATCTTAAAGACAGCAGTATCTGTGGTACAGATAGCATTGTTTAGTGAATGTTCCTTTAAGAACAATATTCAATTGAATGTGGAAAGTAATCTGAGATTGCAGTGGTTTTACTCTACTTTGCTCTGTTATTGGTCCAGAAAACTCATGCCTCTCTCTCAATTAATCAGATGCAAAACTAAAAGAAATCACTTTTTAGTTTTCCCATGCTTTCAGCAGATTGGTTGTTTTTACTTTGAGTTCAAAATGCCTGTTGTGATTACTTTGGTTTAGTTTTTATTTCAATTAACTTTACAACAACTTTTTTAACTTTAGTCTTCCCTTGCTTTCGGCAGATTGGTTGTTTTTACTTTGGGTTCCAAATGCCTGTTGTGATTACTTTGGTTTAGTTTTTATGTCAATTAACTTTACAACACTCTAATTTAATTCATGACCTAAGCCAACACTTATTATTGGTACAGTAGCCTACTTTGCATCTTAGATTATATTAGATGGTTCATGGATTTATCCAAGCATAAATGCTAGATTCTAAAATCTCAAGAATGACAAATTTCGGTCAGAAAACTGGTTCTTCTGGTTTTAAATATCTTCATGCCTTAATACCATTTGGCATCAAGCAGACGAGTAAAAGTGGATGTTTTGTAACATATTGCTGGTTTTTTTTTTTTTTTTTTATAATCATGTTTCCTTGTTATTACATTGCAGGTTCCTGTAACAGTGGCACCTGCACTTGGTGAGTGGGCCCTGAAAATCACTCTATCAGAAGTGGGGAATCCCAGTTAGAGGTGTATGTTAGGACCTTGAAACAAAAAAAATTTCAAACATTTCCTATATTTAGTTGTACTTATGAATGTGGTGAAAACACTTGATTACATTTTTGTAAGATTTCCTGTAAGTAAAAGCATAATTATGCCTTACAGAGTTGTGTTTTCTTTGTTTACCTTGTTTGATGTTCTGTTTTATATTCTGCTGTCTGATATTATTTAATTATGCTGAACTTTTTTTTTAAGGCACATCCCAGGAAATTCCTGCTAGAAAACCAAGAACTAAACCTAAAAAAAGAAAGAGAAGAAGGGAACATAAAGTGAAAGGTAACTTATTAATAAAAATATCAGCATTATTATTTAACTTTAAGTCAGATTAAATCCCCGTGTAGGATCTTGTTATATATAATTGATGTTGCTTCCAGGTTCCCTAAAAAGGAAATGGGGAGGGGGGGGGGTAGTTGTAAGACAAGGACTTATTTTCTACAAGTCATCAACAGCATATAGGAGAATCTTTAAGCAGACATGTTTAGCCAAGTTACTTGCTTTGCATAAGAGACAATGTATTACAAGTAACATACAGGTAATTGACCTTGGCTTTCTTTTGGCTTTGTTATATGTTCTATAAAAGCTCTGAGAGAAGTTGTCGTTTTGTTTTTCAAACAGATACATCAAATAGTTCGTTTATCATGAGTGAGTTACAGTCGGCAATAGTTCATAAGAGCCTAGGTAGAATACCACTTGAAATATTGACTAGAGCTGTGAAAGAAACAGTGAGGAAGGGTGGAGTAGGGGAAGGCTTTGCTCCACATGAGCCTAAACTTGTGAAAATACATTGCCTCTGACCAGAAGAGCCTGCTGTTTTTAGTGCATGACAGTTACTGAGTTAATTTTGTTTCAATAGCTCAAAATGAATCATTAATTGTCTAAGCTTACTATGCCAGGATCCATGTTTTAGCTCGAAGAACAGGTGTTGAAATTCTTTTGCCTTTTTCAGTAGAATTGAGGCAAGGGTGAGGCAAGCACAAATTCAAGGGGAGGAGTTATTATTTGCACTCCTACCCATGCATGATCTGCACTTGCCAAGCACTTATCTCCTTTACCTGAAAAGTGCAACAAATTATGCCAGTCCTGTTGGCTAAATCTCCTTAACTTAAGTTCTTTAGACAAAGTAGTTAACAGGAGGAAATGCAAACTCAAAGAAATAACACATTTTTACCCTAACCTTTTCATCTCTCTTACTTACATACCAGCTTCTGGTTACACTGAAGTCAAGCAAGAGGAAGAAAATGGCTCAGCTGCCAAAAAACCTAAACTTGTTACTACTGGAGAACCTAGAACTTCTGGGGTATCCAGCACCAATAAGACAAGGAAGTTTAAGGGTAAGGACAAAGGTAAAATTGCATTTTAAGTTGATTAATTAAGGATTGATCATTTAAAATTTCTTTGCTGACTTGAAGAACTAAAATAGTTTTTTGCGATAAACTGTTACTGACTCACAATCAGTTATACCCCCCACTAGCTCTCACAATGTAAATCAACTCTGATCAGTTTAATTCAACATATTGTACCTGATAGTACAAGGAATGTGTGTGTAGATATGTATTTGTATACATAACTGAATAAAATTGACCAGTTTCCCCTAGCATGGCTCATTTCAGGACAAATTCAAACAAATTCAGACATTGAAAATAACCTTACCTGCATAGCTTTTTCAATTAGAAAAAAAGCAAAAAGGCCAATCAGGATTTAATTAAGAAAAATGTGATTTTCCTGAGCATTGGTGCCAACCCTTAATCACTGATGTGATGATGAATTAAAAAAAAAAAAAGGAAAACTAGGATCAAGACATTCATAAATCAGTTTGAATTAGCTGAACTAAGTCTTTCTATGATCATGATCAAATTCTCCTGTGGGGACATTTCTCCGGAGGAATCATTTGTGGTTTTTACCAAGTAGGGCTGTAAGTTGCAACCCTTCTGGTTGCCATGGCAATTGGCATATTTGGCCATCAGTTATCTTGTTTTTGCTGGTTGTGCATGGCATGACACTAGCCAGCTGTAACATTCTTTTAAAGAGAGATAAACATTTTGCATACTGAGTACAACCCTTATTGAAGTACTAGGTTTACAATTGCCACATAGTACTATTCTCTCAAAGACATAATCAGTATGGTTAGCTCTAGTTGAGGAAAACTAAGATCTTAAAGGAACACTAGGATCACTAAAAGGAAAACTAGGATCAAGACATTCATAAATCAATTTAAATTGGCGTAACTTTGTTTTTGTCTCCCTTTTTTTCTTTGACAGTGTTATGTAAGGCAGTTATTGTATAGAAATAACCACAATTAATCACACAAGAAAACGAATTAAGATATGTCTGCATGCAGTTTATCAGACTTCAATCTGCCTCTTTATCATGAGAGTCTAGCATTCACTCTAATATAGGCTTGTAGGGAATATGTGCATGAATAAAACACCTGTCTAGAGACTCTAGGGAATTCCAGTTTCGAAGAAATGTTTTGCTTACTTAAGGAACTTCTATTTGAGGGATCTCTGTTTCAGCCCTGGGTAGTTCATTAAAGGTCAATCCTGTAAACCCTGAGAGTGACCAGCATCTAATTTCTCCTTACAGTTATACGGCTGAGGTCATGAGAATAAAGGAAATGATTGCCACCTGATTGATTGCCACATGCTTCCCTGCTGTATTAACTATTGATAGAATGCACTTTTCATTTATTTTGAATTCATTTTTTCTGTGGTAGTGAAAAAAGGCAATCCTGATAATGATGAATTAGAACAACTGGCCAATGACATTGATCCTAGTGATTGGAAGAAATTTGCAAGAAAATTAAGATTCATGATCCAAAGATCACAGCCATACATAAGGAAAATGAGGAGTTTTATGAAAAGATATACCAAATGCTGCTAAAATGGAAGCAGGCAAATGGAAGTGCTGCTGTAAAAAAAATTAATTGAAAGAGACCATCTGTCAGGAGCAGTTTTCCACCAAACACTGTGCATAAGATATTTCTCAGCTAAAAATTGTTACACCCAGGTAAAAATGTTGCTCCTACTTTTTAAACATATTTGTTAGTTAGCCATGTGATAACCGATGGGATCGGTCCTTCCCTAGCTGCACAACTTTTTTTAAAACAGATGTTTGTGACTTTTTTAATTATGAAACCAGGAAATGCTCATTTCGGCATTTGGAAAAGATAGAACTTGATGCTACCTGTGCAAGCCTTCCTTTTTTAAAATGTGCATTATACTATTTTATAATTATTTCCAGCGCAAGATATCTCGTACAGATTTCTCGTACAAATTTCTCGCACGTTTCACAAATTCGTGTGATAACGGCCTTTAAATAACTTAAAGAAAAGTTCTGAAAGGAAGTTATGGTAAAGACAGAAACTTGGTTTCAACGACAAGACGAACAGACAAGCTTGAGTCAACTAAAATAACTTTCACGCGTAAAGCGACTTATGAAGTTCAACGTTAACATCGCATGGGGCACGTGCCATCGCAGGTGCACTGCTAAAAGTATGCACGCCTTACTCAGGCAAGGCTCAAATGCCCCACTCCCTCCCGGGAACGGTTGCCCGGGGGGATCTTGAAGATTCGAATCGATCGGTGCATAACATCCTCAACTGAGTATTGCGTAAATTAACTTGTAGGGGCCTAAGAGCCACTTTTTCAACCTGTTGTAAGCCTGTTCTCTAAGAAAGTTCAATTTTTGTTTCAAAATTTGCTCGTCATATTATGAAAGTCACACGGGCGGAAAAAAAAATAATGTAGGCCCTGATCTACTGGTTACGCCACTGACTTGCCACGATGACTGGCAAAAGTAGTTGGTACACCTCCCCTAGCTAGGCGGTTTACAACCCTCTACTCAACACAATAAAAAGAAATCTTGTAATTCATCTCTACTAAGTTACTTGCAAGTCCCCCCTTCCCTTCCCCCAAACAATTTCGCCTGAAATTTGTGACTATTTTGTAACAAAAGGCAACACTGAAGGAAAAGATAAGTGAAAGTTTTGAGAAAAATTAGAAAACTAGTAGAGCATGTCAAGACTATTGCCACTTATTGTAGGTTAGCTTGATATATCTAGTTGTAGCTCTGTGTATGGTATCTTTTTATCTGCTCAAATAGGGATGTAACCTATACATCTTTATTATTTCTCGAAGGTACTCAGCAACACTCTTATCATGCATTAATTCTGTAGAGTCAAAACACTGAACAAGTATGTTTATTGCGACTCGCAGGTGATGACCAGGAGCTTGCCGACTTTTATGCAAGTCAGCAGCCATCTACAAGTGGATCTGGCAGACCACAGTGTAAGACTAATAATCAGTCAGGGTTCATGATTATCGCATCTATAAAATATTCAAGATTTACTGACGTGCACTCTCATTGGTTGATCGATTGGTGTGTTTAGTTGAAAGTTTGTAAGAAAATTTCTAGTGCAAATATTAGGGCAATGGAGAAAAATTTGCCGCTTTTTAATTTGAGTTTGGGAACCTCTTTTCCACTTCCTGAGTACGAGAGAAAAATAGCGAAAAAAGAAGAAATAAAGCGCTTTGCCTGCCTCTATTCTCGTGAACTGGACGACCTCGTCGAGAAACCTCAAGCAAAGACGTAAATTTCATAAAATGAAATTTTCTCTGAGACGTTCACAGCGTAAATATTTTCACATTGGCTGATATTTGTTAACTTTTCAAATTCAAATTAGAACAGCAAAAGTAACTAACCAGCAAAACTTCCCAAGGTACGATGAGCGATTCAACTTCTCAACCACGTTTCGGGCAGCCAAATCGGGCAAGGTTTTGTCACTTTCAAAAGCGATTAATCAGTGACATTCATCTTCAGGTTAAATAAACTCCTCCTCTTGAAGTTCTTTCCTGAAAGAATCTTATATTTTTTAAGCATCCCGGTATTTTTGTGTCAAATTTACGAGGATTCAAGCTGACATCATTTCATTCGCACAGTGAAGACGCCTGCTACAAATTTCAACTTGGCTTTGATTTGTATAGCGCGAAATTTGATTAGTTTATGTGTTATCAGATGCGCAACTTGATCGGCTAGTAGGAAATACCATCGTACAGTGTGTGTATTAAGGAAATGTATATCAGTCATGAAGGAAATGACATTTTCCTTCGTTTGTCATGTGAAATATATTTTATAAAAGCAATCCTCGACTGGGTCTCGGGTTTGCATAACTTTCTTGGCTCCTGCCCATCCCCTCGTGTTTAGACGAGGCTATGTAAACACGAAAAAAGTTCTCTATTGCTTTTTATAATTTAAACCGACTAACTGGCCAGTATCCTTACTTTGTTTTCTTTCCACTTATATTTTTGCCTGAGACTGGAGTGTTTCCAAAACAACAGCTGTATAACGATCGTTACAACTTGATATTGAACTTATATTTAACCTATGACGTGACCACAAATAGTGCTGTATGCTTTTGTCATGACTTAATGGCGACTGAGAAATTATCTGAAATTGTTTTACTTGGTTCTCTGTCTTAAGTCCGCTAATGATTGCTCTTTATTTATGCTTCTCATTAACAATTAATTTGTCTTTGTAGTCAAACAAGGTACACCCAGTGACTATGAACTGGAACGTATTTCCTCAGGGCTTGGTGATGCTTGGAAAAAGCTTGGGCGCCGCTTGAAAATCCAAGATCCAAAGCTTGATGATCTGAACAAATTAAACGAGGATTTCTCTGAAAAGGGATATAAAATGCTCAAGCATTGGAAGGAGGTAAACGGTTCAGCCGCAACGTACCAGATTTTGGGTGATGGCTTACAGATGAATCTTGTGAATCGGCGAGACTTAGCGGAGGAATTTTGCTATAAGAAACAATAACAATAAGTTTCCACTAGATTGCAAATTTTTTTATGTAATAATTTTCTTCTTAATTTAATCTTAATTTTGTGAGTATATGATTTTGAAGGAAAATTTTTCAGCAGAAGATTACCCCAGAGTCAAGTAATTTCTAACTTCCAGAAGTGATCAGCTGACTTGTGAAATAAGTGTATCGCTGCTTCCATATAACTTTTAGATGCTCGTGGAACTACAAAATTATTTGTGTAAGGGCTGTGTTCGATGAAGTAGTACTATTTTTTTAGTGGCAAATTTTTTCCAACACCCTGATAGCTTGGTTTACACGTCCACTAAAACGGGAATAGTTTTTTGCGACTGCTATAGAGAGATATTATCTAGCAATAGTATTTTTTAAAAAGTGAACGTTACATAAGGTTTCACTCTAAAATAGTTTATGAATAGTTATACAGATCTAGGTTTTAAAACGTTTCTAGGAAATTATTAATTTTAGATAGTCATCATTTCGTAATAACATTGCAACTGCTGTTTTGTACAAAACATCATCTTTTTATTATTGTACAAAACATCACTTTAGCATACTTACCGATAGTATTTGTAATTGTAATCTTAACTTTGTTCATTTCATTTTAAAACACAGTGGTTTCACAGAACCAACGTTTGAGCGTCCTTTTATGTGTCTGTGACTGTACAGTAGAATCTCTCCGTCTTTCTCTTCAACCTGATTTCAATCTTTCGGTCCAAGCGGTAATCCGTGGAAGGAATATTTTGCACTGGTACGTTCATGGGGAAATGCGTGCAGCCTTCCTTGATGATTGTGTGAGCGCATTCGGAGTAGAAGGGGCGTCGAAAGGTTTTGTCTTGAGGTGTGTTTTCGAAACCTTTCAAATCAAACCTGTAGACCCCTTGATAGTCTGGCTAGAGGGTTTCTTTTCTCTTTGTTTTGGTTTTTCAAGGTTGTATAAAAATTACGGCTGCGAATCCGCGGTCTGGAGGATCGAGGAACAATGTATTTTTATTGCCCAGGCCCCTCGCGGCCTATAGGTCACTCTTCCCTATGAAAACGACATTGTCGGATTGAAAGAAGAAAGACCATTTTGATTAAGAAACTATCGTAAAGAAATAAGTGTAGTTACATGATTTAGGGTTATAGTGCCTTTTACAATTATCGCCGATCTCATTTTAAGTAAGCTCTTTAAGTAAGCGGTTGCGCAAGTGCAAACAGGAAAGGAGGAATGTGTTCGAATTCCGTCGAAGCCGTTATTCTTTTCAGGCTTTTTTCAGCAATTGCTTTAACAGCAGCACATCTGCGAGGATCACTGCTGAACTTGATTTTCACCCGCAGGTCAAATGAACTTATTTCAATGAGAATTGTGAAATATTTTGGCGTAGTACATGCAGGAGCTCTTGGTACATGTTAAAAAGCAGAGACTGTTTCAAAGACATGAAAAAGAAAAAACCCACCGTTATCCCTTAAGATGCTGCAATCACCTTTCTGAGGACTTGAAAATTAAAATTTTCTGGGGGGGCATGCCCCACTGTCCTCCTAGGGTGGTCTACCTTCGGCGAACATCTATCCGAACCCTCACTGAATCCTGGACTTTCCCCAAACGCACAAATTGTCTGTAGTTTTCTCAGGTTAAATTTATGTAATTCATGTGAATGATTATCAGGGTACTTTGATAACATTTTAATTCTCAGTTTCGATCAGGTACCACTTTGGAGAGGGTTCATTCATATCTAGGGCATATGTTCTAAAAATTTACCGCCGCTTTTTTGTTACTATTATTTTTTTTAATTGATGGCGCTGTGTCTCATGGGATCGATATGCTAAGAATAATAAGCGATTGTTCCGCAGCCTTAGCGACGCCAAAGATCAAGTATTTTCGTGGAGCTGGATTTGCCATCCAATACGCAAACTTTTTACTTCTAAGTGAGGTAAGTAGTTTACTAGCCTTGTAACGTATCCACGATAGTCATGTCTTTTAGTTGCTACCTTCACTCTGTTGATTGCGCTAGTCAATGGAATGAACAAGTGTGAATTAATCCAGTCACGCTTCGACGAATTGTTCGACAACAATTAAGATAACAAAAAGCAACAATTCGGTTTGAAAAGTTTTTATCGGCAAGAGAAAGGCTAAAAGTAATTCAGTTCAACCTTTTATGTTGAAATCTGTCGCTCAATTCTCTTTATGCGGCACGATAACCCCTTAGTGCTGGGAATTTCACTTCCGCCTTTGGAAATTGTTTCTTAGATACACAACTGAGGGTGAAATTTAATTTACACTCTAGTAACAGCTTAGGCTCCTTGTGTCTGACGCTTAAATGCTTCTAATAACGGTATTTAAGGCACAAAGACATCGATCTGAAGTCAAGACTCGGCAGACGCCGAGGCCACTGGCTTGGATTGCGAGACCGAGAACAAACTATTTACCCCAAACAACAACTAACAATTAGACCGTCGCTAGACTCAGATAATGGCTAAGTACTGTTAAAGACAAGAAAATATTGCGTTATAGTTGAGATGATGTACTCTTTTTCACGTTCGTGTTAACGATGTGTCAGCATGTACACTGCAATTTTTTCATTTTTTAAACCACAACGATCATACATCAAAATTTCCTCGTTTACATCTTAACTCTAATAAGTTTCTCCCTTTCGAACGAGGACCCCTGCTGTAAGTAAAAATCCCAGATCAAAAGGAAAAGTGATAATTTGGGGCTCACCACAAAGGCTAACGAGTTCAGATTCAAAAATGGCGGGCTTACGGTTTTCCAAAGGTTCCTTTAGCCACCCTCCAAAGGGAGCCACAACCCATCAGCTCTTAAGTTTCTTAATTAGCATGAGTGCTCTTGTTGGAGTCACATAGAGACCTATGACTTATCTACCACTGCAGTGGAATCATACAAGATTGTGGGTATCTAACAGACAGAGACAAATTCTTGATTTCTTCACTGTTCTTGTAACAACTGCTTGATTTGACAAAGGATAATGGGGTAGGAAGGGGCAGTGAGTGCTTTTGTATAAAATCATATTCATTTGGAAGCTGCAATGTAAGAATTTTTTTTTTTTTAAATCACTTACACAGACTAACGAGAGGCACCCTTGTAACATGAGCCCTGACCATAGGGTAGCCTGTGATGCTCATTAAAATCTAATCTGAATTGATATTTGTGTTTGACAGGGTAAGTGGTGTTCAAATATGGCCAGTGAAGCTGAAAGAGATGCAGGTAATGGTGCCAGACCAAGCCCTAGTGGTTCTGTCATGAGAGTAGAGACAGCTGGAGGGAATAAGATAGAGATTAATGATGTTTGGACAACTAGAATATTGGTGACCGCCGTCTCTGGGACTGGAATTTACGTGGTAAAAAGTTTAGTAACTTTTTTCCGTGAGAATCCAAAATTGGTTACAGATGTAGTAAAATGGGCTTTTAAAGGTTGGGGTGAAGCCACAGTCAAGCCTGGGTCAATTATTGTTGACTTGGATTTTGGATCACAGGAGAAATTTTTAAAGTTTAAAGAAGACTTTAAGGATGGAAAAGTTAAAGATGCATTGGAGAGAGGGTTAGGAGAAATTGGCTACAATGCCAAACTGGAATTAAAACTCATAAAGGAAACTCCCAATGTGGCTGCAGTCGAAATGAGGTAAATGAGTTATTTTTATTTGATAGCTGACATGTATTGGTCTGTTAGTCAGGTGACTGGTTAGGCCTTCCCTTTATACCTTAGCAGGCAATCATTTTAGCAGGTAGTCACATTAACTTCTCTATTCATACCAGTTTAACCTTTTACCTTAATTTAGTACACCCTGAAATCAATGTGCATATTCTCCATACTGTTCTCTGTACATTTTCTAAAGTGGAGACAAGGAGAATTTGTTTAACAATCGAGAGCTTCTTTAGTTGTTGATCATTTCCTTTGTTCTCCTAACCTTAATGTGTGGTTTAGGGGTGATATTGTAAGAAGAAGTTAAATGCTAGATTAAATCACTCTTGAGGACCCCATGATTAATATTTTGTTCTGTTGACGACACTGTGAGGATTGTTTTATTTGCCTTGATGTCTTCACCCTGTAGTACAAATGCATTACAGATCTCTATCAATTCTTTTAGATATACTCAGGACCTTTTGCAGGAAAGTTTTGCTCTTGCGTGGTGACCAGCTAGCTCCCACTGTTGGCTAAGAACACATTTTTGTTTCAAGCTCTCAATGAAAATCCAAGAAGTTATGTGACTAGCCACTAATCTCCTGCAAAAATACAAATTTCTCAGGATCAAAATGGAAGTTTAATTGTTCAATTTATGTGGATTTTTTTGTTTAAAATGCCATATTCTCATGCGAGATTCAGTATACTTTAAGAGGTCTTGTTAGCTGTGTTGTTTTATTTTATTTGTTAGTGTTGACATTTATCCATCATCACAATGCATTGACCTCCAGTGTTAGCAAAAAGAAAAAAATACTTGCTTAATAGGTAAGAGCTATATTTTTTGAGTACATGGTTTTCATACAGTACAATGAAATTTTGCATTTTCAGCAAAGAAACTGTGATACGAGAGACCAAGAAAGTTTCAATTGCATATTGCAATCCTAGAGTTGTGTCCCATGGAGAAAGGAAAAAAGAAAAAGAGAGTGATCAGAAAGCCGGTGAGACATGTGCTCTGTGAATGTTTATAGACCTTTATATAATACAATATCTCAAAAACATACACTACTGCATGATCTAATAGCCTCCAAATTCAGAGAAAGTACAAACTAAGTTGCTAGTCTGTATATAACCATGGATTTTTGTTTTGTAAAGGTGAACACATAACTTGGAATTGTTTAGAATACAGTCATGTACCTACAAATTGGTCTCTCATTCCCACCTCTTCCCTCTCAAACTTAACAAATTTTAATCTTACATGGACATTTAATTACCAAACCAAGTATTGCAAGAGGCTGTGTTAATATCACTGCAAGAGTCACTTATATTTAAAAATAAAATTTTTAAAAGCAATTCTGACTATGAAAGGTTCTTCTTTTGACAGAAGTAAAAGAGAATCCAGAAGGGACAGACAACCCAGCTAAAGAAGACATTCAGTCACCCTCTCAAAAGCGTAAAGAAGGTACCAGAGACTTTTCATTTGCCAATTTTTGTTTCCTGGAAACAGAGAAGTCAATGTAATTGTGAAATAAGTTGTCAAAAGAGAATCATTCTTGAACAGTATAGTGCTTAAAGGCCTTCTTAATTTTAATAGCTCTGTTAATATTTGAACATATTTATCTCAGAATCAAATGGGTAGTTATGGTAAGGTTGTATGAACCTGAAACAGGCAATTTTCCTTTTAACTGTAATAGTTTGTGCAAAGAACTATAAGATGTTAGCAATTATATAAATAATAAGTTTGGACTATAAAGTAATAAACAAAAATCAACATTTTAACAGATCATTATATTGATGGTAATCATGCTAATGGAGAGTACAAATAACATAGGCCACCACTTAAGTGTGTTAGAGAAAATACATTGCCACTGACTAGAAGAGCCTGCTGTTTTTAGCTAACAGCAGTTATTGGGTAAATTTTATTTCAATAGATCAAAATGAACCACTTATTGTCTAAGCTTGCAATACCAGGATCCATATTTAAGCATGAAGAACAGGCCTTTTTTTGCCTTTTTCAGTAGAATTTAGGCAAGCAAGTCAAGGGGAGGAATTATTATTTGCACTCCTACCCTGTGCATGACTTATCTTCATTTGCCTGAAAAACGCAACAAATTATTCCTGTTCTGCAGGCTAAATCTCTTAGACTTAAGTTCTTCAGACAAACCAGTTAGCAGGAGGAAATGCAAGCACAAAAAATATTACATTTTTACCCTAACCTTTTCATCTCTCTTACTTACATACCTGTACTAGCTTCTGGTTCCAATGAAGCTAAGCAAAAGGAAGAAAATGTTTCAGCTGCGAAAAAACTTAAACTTGACACTACTGGACAACCTGGAACTTCTGGGGTATCCAGCACTAGTAAGACAAGGAAAATTAAGGGTAAGGACAAAAGGAAAATTACATTTTCAGTCGACAAAATTTCTCTGCAGACTTGAAGAAACTTTAATCTCTCTCCCAAAATAGTATTCTTTGTGATAAATTGTTACTGACTTGCCATCAGTTATACCCCAACTAGCTGTCACAATGTAACTCAACTCTGATCAGTTTTATTCAACATATTATACCTAATAATATGGGTAATGTGAAATGAAAGAGACCTTTGCAGTAATGAACACTGCTTGAGAAGTAGTGAAAATATGGCCTGAAAAAAATTCAGGCCTGTATGGGATTTGAACCCATGACCTCTGCGATACCATTGCAGTGCTCTACCAACTGAGCTAACAAGCCAACTGGGTGCTGGTCATTATGTTGGTGTAATGTGGGTAATGTGTGTGTGGATATGTATTTGTACACTTTTCTTCTTGTACAGTCTTCCCCAACAGGGCTCATCTCAGGATAGATACAAACAATCTGGTCCCAAACATTGTAAATAAACATAGGGTGTAGAAACCCCAACTGGAGGCAGGTGGCAGTGAGCTATATACAAAGAACAGCCAAGGAGTTGAACTCAGGGAACCATTAAGAACAATCTAGTGAGTGGCAGGGTGAAGGGCTTGTTCTCAGGACCACCAGACTACAAATGCGGTATCCTAACCACTTGGCCACCCTTGCCTCCACAAAATCTGATAGAAAATCTCTGGCATGACAGAAAAAAGCCTTTGCTCTCTCATCACCCCCCTCCCCCCAAAAAGATTACTGACAGTGAATGATTTTAAAATTGATACTGAGTCACAGTTAGTAACAAGTAAGCTGGTAATCTTAAAATAATTATCTCTCCATTTGTTTTTATATTCAAGAGGAAGTAGTAACTGATGATGACATTGAAACACTTGGCAAAGCTATTGGTGGCAAGTGGGCTCAACTGGCACGTCGACTACTAATTAAGAGGGAGGACATAGAAGGAATCGATGACAGATTTAAGACTTTGGCAGACAAGGGATTTCATATACTGGAACTGTGGAAATCAAACAATGGGGAAGCTGCAGACTATAAGACTTTGTATGATGCATTAGTCCACAATTTGGTACAGCGGAGAGACTTAGCAGAAAAGTATTGTTTTCAATGATAATATCTCTTTGATATTACTCATACCAAAGCCTGGCAGTTAGTTTAAAAACAGACGGCCACTAGGTGGAAAGTAGAGATAACTTTGCTAGTTACCAGTAAATTCCAGTTGACTATTAATTTTAAGAATCTAGTGATTAATTTAACCTTGATTTACAGCCTTTTAACCATAGCCTTTTTACACCATTTTTGGTGTTAATAATGGTAATTGAACTAAAAGGAGTGCAATTTTGGTGGCAATCATATGTGTGATTTCAAAATTGAATGAGCATGAGTTCAATTTGAAATCACAAGTATGATTTCAGACCAAAATTGCATGACATGAGGTTCAATTACCACTTCATTACATCCATTTTAAAATCACCCAAATACAGGACTTGGTCCATTCTTATTGATGCAGTACTGAGCTGGTTTGAATTTAAATTCATCCATTTTTGGAAACAAATGTTGCAAAATTTGCCACATGATACTCTTTGTCTTTCATTTTCCTGCAATTTGATTGGTTACTTTAAACAAGCCTTGAAATCTGATTGGTTGTTTTGTTTTTTGGTGTGACCTGCCCACTGGCTGGGAAAAAGATGTAATTTAAAGCAAAAAAAAGGTGCGATTTGTGAATAAATTGCACCAATTAGAGCCAATCAGATTACAGGGACAGCCAGTGATTTCAAAATGGTTGTAATAAAGCTGAATATTGCATATGCATTTGAATGGATCTATCGGAGGACAGACTCGTATATAAAGTAAGAGTATTTCAGATAAACTAAGCAGTCTAAGTTTTTTTTAATGTAGACCACTATTTATAGTTTTTAAAAATAAAAACAGAACTGTATGTTTAGAGCATTTTGGTTAGTGATTAAAGTAGGGTTTTTAGATCCGCGTTTTTCATGATTGAGGGACACAACATATGCAGTCGATCGTCATTGGTAATCTCAGCCCTAATTTGTTCCATTATAAATCGGGCATGACGATAATGTTATTTGCCATGGTAGTATCATAGTTAATAAGTCTTTGCTTAGCAGCTGTCTTGTATGAAATATAATGGAATATTTACCCGGTTATGAAATACATGGAGTATATTCACTTTGAACATTCAAGGTGTGGTGTTCCAAAACGTGTTTATGTATCTTACTAACCTTATGATAAACGAACGCAAAATTGACCGTACCACGCCTGATCGAGACCAAATTAACCTTGGACCCAAGCCTCTGCCTCTTCTGCGGCCGTTTTCAGTCATGACATCAAGTCAAAAACTGCTTGTGCAAACACAGGCATCCCAAGCTCACGTTTCGACTAAAAGCAAACTATTTATTTATGAAAGCGTCACGCGCTGTGTGACGATATATTAACTGGCTGATGAAATGATACGTTCCTCTCGCTCGCCTTCGTCCGTGGCGGCAGTACAAAACACTCCCCGCCACAGCCGTGACTACATAAAGTTTTAGGACAAACAAAAAAAACTTCCAGTGGGGCCTGCGCTCCATTATGTCACGCAAACTCAATTTTGAGGTACTTTTTTTATTATCAACTGAGTTGATGGCGTAAATGACCGTTAAAATTTTCAAAGCTGACGTTTCGAGCGTTAGCCCTTCCTCAGAGCGAAATGTTCCTCCTCCATTGGCTTTGACGAAGGGTTAACGCTCTAAACGTCAGCTTTGAAAATCTTAACGGTGACCAATTTACGTTATCTCTCAGTTGATAATACCAAATTACCTTTCTATACTCTCCCACCAACGCAGCACCACAGTTTCTTCAGAAACTTCCCCCTTCATTCATTATACTTTATTTTACCTTGTCACGCAAAATTTCTAATAACAATTAACATATTATATTTTTGATTTATTTATTTTTCAAAACTTTTTTGTTCGATCCTTGGTCCGTTCCGATCCTGGTTTGGTCGACGCCGCTCACTTAGAGAGGATTACGCCATTTAAGATCTTTAGATAATCGTTAACTGAGAACTGACAAACGGCCCCAAGTCTAACAGACAACTGACAAATGGCCCAAGATTTAACTGACATATAGATAAAATTTTAATTGACAAGTGACATTTCCACCCCTGTCCCCCTCCATCCAGACCCTCATAGTTTTCATCAATGGGCTTTTATCTCAAAATTCATCTATCCCTATGACAATGCATACCCATGAACTGTCGCCCACCCTGAGCTCAAGTAATGTGAACCTACAGCGATTTGGGTACGGTGGAATTCGTACAACATCTAACCCAAGGACTCTTAATTGGTGGCCTTTAACTCCGTCCTTTTTGGCACAAACCTCGAACTATTCACATCTCCATTCCTTTGTACACGAACTTCGAATAAGGTAAATGAGCGTGACTAGCCAGCATTGTCCGGTATGGGAGCCAATTACGTTCCCCATACCGGACATGTCCGTGTGGGTGTTGAATTTTGTGATGTCGAGGCATTTACAGTAAAATAACAGCATTTTACTGTCAGCAGATTTGTTCGGATGGGATCACCCACTGACCTCCCTTGGAAAAAACTTGTATGAAGAATGCCAAGTAATCTCATGAGATTCAAAGTAACAAATTCTAAAGCGTGATTAATAAAGGTTTTTGTTCAAAACTAGGTCAAAACAAAGTGTTGGGTTAAGAAGGCGTCGAGCTTCCATTCCCATACAAATGCCAAGGCAGATCCTCCAACTGTGCAAAATAACTTGATATTAACAACCATTTTGCTGAAGATTATATGGTGGATAAAGCAGCAGAACTAAGAACGACCCAGACATCCTTAAATTCGCCCAGAAAACTCCCAAGGTGCATTCGACCAACCAAAGAAGTATGGCAATTTTGTTTTTATACAGAACCAGGAGTCCATTAATAATGGTAATGGCTCCTGACGAAAATAAAATTTTTAAGTGAAGGATGCGACCTTTTTTTTCCCCAGTCTTGAACCATAGCGCAATATTAAAAATGTTTGTATATCTTTGGAGGCTCATCGTGTAAGCCTGAAATCCCTGGTTGTCCTTGTAATCTGATTAGCTCTAATTGGTGCGATTTATTCACGAATCGCACCATTTTTTGCTTTAAATTGCATCTTTTTCCATGCTAATGAGGAGGCTTCACTAAAAACAAAACAACCAATCAGATTTCAAGGCTTGTTTAAAGTAACCAATCAAATTGCAGGAAAATGATAGACAAAGCGTATCGTGAGGCAAATTTTGCTACTTATGTTTCCAAAACTCTTATTTTTCCCCCCCCAAAAATGGATGAATTTAATTTCAAACGGGCTCAGTACTGCATAAATAAAATATAAGACCTGACCAAGTCCTGTATTTGGGCGATTTCAAAATAGATGTAATAAAGTGGAACCTCGTGTCGTGCAATTTTTGTCTAAAATCATACTTGTGATTTCAAATCACGCATATGATTTCAGGCCAAATTGCACTCCACTCAGTTCAATTACCATTATTTTCTGGCTTCCTTCACCTGAGACTTACAGCGCGCGCACAGAAGCTTTTTCGGAAGACACCTGTGAAAGTTTGGAGGAACATTAAAAAAACACTGTGGTATTGTCTCACTTCCACAACCGGAGATGGCGAGATTTAAACAATAATATGCGAGGAGGCCCCATATTTAGCGCTGCAGCACGAGCGTGCCTTCGCCCGCGAGAAAGTTTGAGGATTTTAGCAATACGGGGCGGCGGGAAGTTTTAGAGGGGTCTGGCATGAATAATTTGCCAGGAGAGGGAATGGTGAAAAGTTGTTTCCACACCGTTGGGCACCGTTGCATTTTGGCGCTCAAAGTATCACATTACGTCTCTCTCTCTCTCTCTTCTTAGCATGGATGAGTTACGGCTCTTTCCTCGACACTGAGGTCTTCGGGGTAAGTGTTATGCTCACCAAATTTCTATTGTGATAATTTTACGTTTTTTTTCTCGCAATTGTTATTTCTTATCCCGCTTGAAAACTGCGCAGTGAAACGTTGCATTCCACGTGCTCGATTTCAATGCCTAATTATTTGTGTTTGGTAAAATTTGTGCACAGCCTCATACTATTGTAAAACAAATCTGTTTTCCCAATGGCAATGTATTGTTTTTGTCATTGTTTTCTCTATCCAAGAACTGATTGCATAATGTAGTATGGGGCTATGCGGAAATTTTACCTTTGTGTTTATCAGATTGTTTATCTAACGTTTTTTCAAAGTACTTCATCTTAGCGGTTCTACATTTTAAATGTAGATATGTCAATAAGCGATTTCTAGCTAGAAGGATGTAGCGCCTTGAAGGGCAAGATTTCCGCACCGTCCACTTATTCTGTGTTTTTCCACAAAGTTCTTGCATAACGGAAACGCACTGGCAAAAATAGTAGATTGCCTTTGGAACTCCTTTACGGCTTTGTTTCAGAATATTCTGGGGCTATGCAAAAATCTTTCCTCTTTTCGTACAAACGCTAAGGAGAGATGTTGTCTTCGAGCATATTCTACGTCAAAATTGCTATGCCAGCGTTATAACTAACGGTTTGGCTTAACTATTGTGTTAATCCAAATAAATGATCAATTTTCAGTTCTCTGGGTTAAAGCCCACCTGTGTTAGCTAAGGGATTGTCTGTTATATCAGCTAACTTCTAACATCTGTTATATCAGCTAACATCATTTCAGCTAACGTTATGTCCTGGCAATTGCTGTGGGAATTGCAAAGGTGAGACTTAATGAAATTTACCTCAACTCAGCTAGGATCCTTGAAAAGAATTTGTCTGGGATTGTGAGGCTATTGCATGTATATCTGACCTTCAAAATGCTCTTACTGGAAGAAGTTTCCATTTATTGAAACAATCTTTCCCTTTCACTGATTAAATTGTTTTAAATCACATACGCATTGTAAAACTCAAGCTAGACATACAATTTTATAGTCTACTGACCAAAAACTACTCTTTTTCATTATAAATATGTGCATGAGTAATGATAATAATAATGACAATCAAAACTATAACAAAATTCTCAAACATGGTTGGTTAGCACCAGTCCTATTTGAGTACCAATAGGTCATGCCTGTGTTTGTGTCACATGTGTGCTGTTGCACTTTTTGCTAAGTTATCTGTTGTTTTCTATGAAAAGGTATAACCAAGGGCTAGTTTGTTTCTAGAATGTTGTCATAGTTTTGATTAATTGGTAACAGGACTTCAAGCTGTCCAATTCTGTCTCTAATCATACTTGTGATTAACAAATTTGTCATTCACTTCAAATTCGTCATGGATTTTTTGGTATCACTTTCACAACTAGACTTCATCAGACCCCACTCAGTCCTATCATCATTATACTTATAATGATAACCAAAGTGATAACAATAATGATGAGATACTTGAGGTTAAGTGAATTTTCTACAGATGTTTCATGTGTTCCCTCGATGAAATGAGTAAAATCGTAGGAACTTTTTAGTTGTAAATATATAGAACTAAATTTGTGAATGATGGTGTAAGAAAGAATTTGTTTTTAGATCATGTTTTAAAATGTAACTTAATTTATTTACTTGAATAAGCACCTCCCCCCTGAATATGTGCAGCATCACCTGTGCAGCACTTATTCTATTAATTTTTTTCTGTCATGAGCTGCAATGACTCATGCACATTCTGATATCTTAAGGTAATTAGAAGCAAATCATTTTGAATTGGAAAGTGACAACAGGCTGACTGCTCCTCGAAAAAGACAGAGAGGTATGTAAATGTATGTGCATTGTTATAAAGCCTGGAACTTTTGTAGTAGGGTTAATCTGTGGGTTTCTTGTTAGTTTTCACAAGCAACAGTTTGAACCTCAGTTGGAGGTATATGTTAGGACCTTGTGACAAACAAAATTTCAAAAATTTTCTAGATTTGGTAGTACTTGTGAATGTGGAGACAACAATTTTGATCAAATTTTTGTAAGATTTCCTGTAAGAAAAAACCTAAATTATGCCTTACAGAGTTGTAAATGTATAACATGATCATTTTCCTAAACTAATGGGGCTATCAAAGAAGTTTTGAAGAGTTAACCCTTCAACTCCCAGATCAAATTTGTAATTCTTCTTACTGTCAATAATACAATTCTTATAATGTCACTTCAGAGAATTAAGTATTGGATCAACTAATTATCTCCAAATTGATATTTTCTTTCATTCTCGTCACTTATTTGGTTGATATTGTATTGATAATGTAAGGAGAAATTCTGTCTTGGTCACTCATGGGAGTTAAAGGGTTAACACTTAAGGCTACGTAATCTGACTGGTAATCCTTCACATAAATAAATAGTAGTCAGGACCATGTAAGGGTCTCATTTATCAGCCATTTTACTGGTGTTGTGTCCTACTTCCTCTTTGTCAAAGATTTGTCAAATACTCTCTCATGTGGTCAAATCAAACTAGTCTGAATCTGTTCTGACCCAAAATTACTACTGTATTACTACATTTGCTTTTTATCTGAAAGTTTAGTTTCTTTTGTACTTAGTGGGTCTGGAATCTAGTGATTCAGAGGGCTCAAGTCCAGAGACAGATGACTCAGTTTCCAGATCTGATGGGAGCTCAGACACAAACACAGACAGTTACACAGAGGAAGAGAACTTTGGTCTTATAGAGGAGAAACCTATTCTAGCCAAACAAAAAGGTAGAGCTGTGTATATTTACATGTATATAATGTACATGTTGCTTACAAAGGCATGTCATCACAATCAGTTTGTTTAAGCATGCTTCACAATCCAATTATTCTTTAACTACACTCAAAGGCATTATGAAAGCAAAAAATTAATGCCAATTTGCTTTGCTTTAATATTTTTTAATTCTGGGAGAGTTTTGGTGTAACCTTCGTTGTAGATTTCTGAGTTTAAAATGTCATTGAAATTAATACTAAATGCATCTTTTACGTCAAAAGGCTTTTGTTGCTGGCTACGTCTATTTAAGAGTAAAAGACCTATATACAATGAAAACTAATGAAAAAGCTCAATTATGGTCCCAGAGGCACATAATTTGCCTCCTAAATTTCACCTGAATTTTTTAAAATAACTTTTGTAATTCACTCCAAAGCATGAATTATTTGTTTATCAAGAGTCATTTACAGTCTGTTATAGTTCCTAAAAGCTGCAGATAAAAACTTCACTATTTTGGAAATTTAGCCTGAAGGTAGAAGAGGAAAAAACTGGTGTAAGGCTAAGTGCGTGTTTGTGCTATATGTACACATAGCTACCTGCTCTCTTACACCAAGACCCATGTGAAAGATATGCTCTTAGCTCTGATATATGCTCTCAAAAGCTTTCAAAAAGCAAGTTTTACATTAATTGTAAAATGACATAAATTAGTTGCCTCACCTCTGGTACCAGGGCTCTATAAGAACATGGTCTTGCTATTGTGGGTAGTTAATGCATAGTGCTAATTTCCAGATTTTATTTCAGAATTAACTTCCGATTTAATTATAAAGTACTTTGAATAGTCAATTTTGCATGTGCACATTTAGATGCCAATTAACAAGAATGTGGTTGAGAGTGCCTTTCTCAGTAATAATTTGTTATACTAACCTTGCTAGGTCTCTTGTCTCTTTTGTAACAAAGTTAACCTTAGCTTTTACCCTCAAACAACTCTGAAATGGACTATTCTCAAACACAACGAACCTTACAAGTCCATCAGTGAGCTGTATCAATTTAGTTTTCTTTTTTAAGTATGTGAGATATTGTAAGCACTGAACTCTTGTTAACCTTACCTATTCAAGTTTCCAAGAACACCACCACCAAAAAGGAGACAGCTAGAGCTTCCAACACAACAAATAAAATGGAGAAGAATGAAAAAGGTAACAATTTTTCTTACATTGTTTATGGCAAGTGTTCCAGGCTCAATTGGTCAGTGGAGACAAAAAGAGAGCACTGAAGGTTGCTATTTGCATGCTTGCTTTCCCCATCCACTGATTAAAAGCTTGGCAAAGGCTAGTTCCTTTTTTTAGAAATTATGGTCATTAAATACAGTACTGTAATAATTCAATGAAATAAATCTTTAGATAAGTTATTTTCTTTATTCATTGCATGTGGGTTCATGAAGAAGTAATTGCAGTTTTAAGATGGAACACCAACTGACTTACCTCAGTATAATAGCACATATTAAAATTATTAGTGCATGCATGCCTGTTCTTGGCTTTGTCTTACATCATGAAGCAAAAGTATTTTGGAATTACGACATTTGAATAACAAGCACAATGTTGCCATTCTTGTGTGAAGAGGTCAGTACAAAAAAGTCACAGAGGTAATATCATTGGTAATGAGAGAAACAGTTTCTTTAGTTATGTGTAGAATCTGTTTTTGTGTGGGTGGTTTTTTTTTACCTAGTTTGATGTTGTGTTTTTATATTCAGCTATGTGCCATTATTTAATTATGCTGGACTATTTTTTAAGGTGCATCTGAGGAAATTCTGGCTAAAAAACCAAGAGCTCAACCTAGGAAAAGAAAGATTAGCAAGGAAAATACAGGGAAAGGTAACTTATTTATAAAGATCAGCACCATTAGATAACTTCAAGTCAGATTAAATCCTTGTATAGGACTTTGTCTATAATAGTAATTGAACTGAATGGAGTGCAATTTGGGCTGAAATAATACGCGTGATTTCAAAATCAATCGAGCATGCAGTGCGAGTTTGATTTGAAATCACAAGTATGATTTCAGACCAAAATTGCACGACACAAGGTTCAATTACCATTTTATTATGTCCATTTTGAAATTGCCCAAATGCAGGACTTGGTCACTTCAAATATTTTATTGATGCAGTACTGAAATTAAATTTATCAATTTTTGGGGGGGTGGGGGGGAGTAAGAGTTTTGGAAACAAAAGTAGCAAAATTTGCCATACAATACTCTTTGTCTATCATTTTCTTGCAATTTTATTGGTTACTTTAAACAAGCCTTGAAATCTGATTGGTTGTTTTGTTTTTAGTGTGGCCTGCTCATTGGCTGGGAAAAAGATATGATTTAAAGCAATAAATGGTGTGATTCATGAATAAATTGCACCAATTAGAGCCAATCAGATCACAGGCACCACCAGTGATTTCAAAATGGGTGTAATAATATTTAATAATGTTGCTTCCAGATTCCTAAAAAATGCAAATGGGGGTAGTTGTAAGACAGGAGCTAATGGTCAACAAGTTGTCAACAGCATATAGGAGATATCTTTAGCAGACATGTTTTGCTGACTTACATTATATTGCATTATATTAGAGACGAAGTTTTACACAAAATTGATAGGGAGAATAAATTCTGCATCATTTTAGGAGATTTTAATCTTGATTTTCTTAAACTGGATTCTCACCCAGATACAGAAGGTTTTTTTAATATTTTGGGGTCCTTCAGCTTTCAACCTCATATTTTACAACCTACTTGAATTACTGACCACTCGAAAAATCTAATTGACAACATTTTCTTCAATTCTTGGAACACCTCACATTAAGTGGGAATATTGTTTATGATGTTACTGATCACCTACCTAATTTTCTTATTATTCAAAAATTCACTTCTTTACCTATCAATGCAGGGCGTGAAATTAACTTTTTTTTCTGATAGCCACTTGGCTCCTAAATTCTTCAAAGTGGTAACCAATTCAAAAAAAGTTGGTTGCCATTTTCAAATACAAACAAAATCTTTCTTTACACTGTCAGCGTTCTAGATAGGCCCTCCAAAATTAAGTTAGGGAAAAGATCTTTAACGTGCTACAAAGTGGACACTAGGATGGATGATTTAAAACATTCAGGCTTATCTAAATCCAAGATGGCGTCTAGTTATCGATCGAGATGCATGTGCTACGTTTTGGAAACAAACTTAACGAGGAAGTTTGCCGCAGATTTATCTTTGCAAATTTTTTAAATTCTCTATATCTCTTGGTAAGGTTATAATGAAACGTTCTAGTTGCCAATTTGGCGACCAACTTTCAGGATTTGGTCGCCAAAGTGAAAAATTTAGTCGCACTGGTGCCTGTATTAGGTGCAATTTCACGCCCTGCAATGTAAAAAATTGCAAGCAGTTTGGCTTCTGTGCAAAACAATCAACTGGTCATGCTATCCTAAGCATCATTGACTTGATTCAATATGCAATTGACTTCCAGGAATTTTCTTGTGGTATATTTTTGGATTTCAGTAAAGCCTTTGATATTGTAAATCATAATATCATGATTGAAAAATTAGATTATTATGGCATTTGTGGTGTAACCAAAGATTTGTTCATCTCTTATCTTACCAACAGATATCAATATGTTTCCTAGGGGCAAACTGAGTCTCAACCTCAACCTGTCTCTTGTGGTGTTCCTCCAGGCTCAGTTGTTGGCCCACTATAATTTCTTGTATATGTATCAATGATTTTAGTAACTGCTCTGAAATTCCAGATTTTCATTTATTTGTAGATGATGCCAATCTGGTTTACAAACACAAAAATCTTACAATCCTTGAATCCAAAGTAAACAATGAACTTGTAAATATTCATACTTGGTTGAGTGCCAACAAACTTTCACTTAATATTGATTAGTTGAACTTTGTCATTTTCCACCCTCCACGAAGAAAGTTACCCTTTCATGTCACACTCTCTTTAAATGGCATTAACTTAAACCAAGAGTACTCAATAAGGTATCTAGGTATTATAATAGATTCTAATTTATCTTGGAAAAGTCAAGTAAGCTATATTGCTGAAAAGATTAAGACATTGTAAGCACTGAATTCTTATGAACCTTATCTATTCAAGTTTCCAAGAACACCACCACCAAAAAGCAGACAGCTAGAGCTTCCAATACAACAAATAAAAAGGAGAAGAATAAAAAAGGTAAAAACTTTTGACACATCACTAAGGGCTTGTCTCAGGCTCAGTGGAAACAAAAGGATAGCACTGAAGGCCATTATTTGTATACTTACTTTCTCTATGCACTGACCTTTCTAGGTCCTAGTTTGTTACTTTTTTAAGAAATAATGGTCATTAATTGATTTAATACTTCAGTGGAATAAATCTTGAGATGAGTGATTTTCTTTATTCATTGCATGTGGGTTCATGAAGAAATAAAGCAATTGCAGTTTTAAGATGGAACACCAACTGACTTAGTTCAGTAATAGCATGTTGTCAAATTATTAGTGCATGCATGCCTGTTCTTGGATTTGTTCTTCATTATAAAGGAAAAGTTTGTTGGAGGTATGACATTTGAATAACAAGCACAATGTTGCCATTCTTGTGTGAAGAGCTCAGTGAAAAAATCACAGAGATAATAATATTATTATTGAAAATGAGAGAAACAGTTTCTTTAGTTTGTAGTTTCTGTTTTTGTTTTTTTTTTTTACCTAGTGTGATGTTCTGTTTTTACATTCAGCTGTGTGCCATTATTTAATTATGCTGGACTATTTTTAAGGTGCATCTGAGGAAATTCCTGCTAAAAAACCAAGAACTCAACCTATTAAAAAAAAGAATAACAAGGAAAATTCAGGGAAAGGTAACTTATTGATAAAAATAAGCATTATTATATAGTGTAGCTTCAAGTCAGATTAATTTCTTGTATACATCTAGGATCTTGTGAATATATGTAATAATGTTGCTTCCAGATTCTTAAAAAAGCAAATTGGGGGGTCATCCAAATCATATTGGGGAAATCTTTAGCAGACATGCTCTTCTGACTCACCTACATTGCATTGTATTAGAGACAGTTTTACAAGTCATGTACGGGTAATTGACTTTGGCTTTCCTTTAATTGGCTTTGTTTGGTATTCTATAAAAGCTCTGAGAGAAGTTGTCCTTTTTTTTTAAACAGACCTATCAAAGAGCTTTTTAATCACATGTACTGGTACCAGTTTTGCCCTAACTATCACAAATCTTTATAATCACAGTTACCTGTCAAGAAACACTTACCAAAACTGCAAGGCCTCAATCTTTGAAAACAAGTAGTGATTGGGGGAATGATATTAGAAGTGACTAATATACATATACTTATCAATAATATACCTGCATTTCTTGAGTGCATTTGCAGATTCTTGTTTGCTTTTCTTCAGAGACAACCACTGTCCAGCTCCCCTATATAGTTTTGTTGAATAAAAAACATGATTTCACATATAGTTTCTTCTTACTATAATTGAAAGTTTTGAGAGTCTGGTATTAGGTTTGTCTATTTTTTTTCTCACAAATCTTAATAATTATAGTCACATTTCAAGAAATGCTCACCAAAATTGCAGAACCTCAAGTTTTGGAAACAAGCAGTGACTGGGGGAATGATACAGGAGGTGACTAATATACATATGCTCATCAATAATATACCTGCATTTCTTGAGTGTGTCTGCAGATTCTTGTTTGCTTTACTTCAGAGACAACCACTGTCCGCATTTCCTTATATAGTTTTGTTGAACAAAAAAGCATTATTTCATGTATAATTTCTACTTAGGAGAGTTGAAGGGTTTTGAGAGTAGAGTATGTATTAGGTTTGTTTGTTTGTTTGGTTGTTTGGTTGGTTTTTTTTAAACAAATCTTTATAATTACAGTTTTGTTTGAAGAAACAGTCACCAACACTGCAAAACCTCAAGTTTTGGAAACAAGCAGTGACTGGGGGAATGATACAGGAGGTGACTAATATACGTATACCCATCAATAATATACCTGCATTTCTTGAATGTGTTTGCAGATTTTTGTTTGCTTTACTTCAGAGACAACCATTGTCTGCATTTCCTTATATAGTTTTTTTTTAATTAAAAAACATCATTTCATGTATAGTTTTTACCTACTATGGTTGAAGGTTTTGAGAGTAGTGTATTAGGTTTGTTATTTATTTATTTATTTATTTTTTTACATATCTTTATAATTACAGTTTCCTTTGGAGAAACATTCACCAAAACTGCAGAACCCCAAGTTTTGGGAAAAAGCAGTGACTGGGGAAATGATGTAGGAGGTGACTAAATTACATATCTTTTTCAACAACATACCTGCATTTCTTGAGTGCATTAGCAGATTCTTGTTTGCTTTATGTCAGAGAAGACCCCTGTCCTGGTTCCCTTACATAGTTTTGTTGATTTCATGTATATTTTTTATACTGACAATGGTTGAAGGTTTTGAGAGTGGTGTATTATGTTTGTTCATTTGTTTATTTTTTTTTCCTTCCCCTTGAGTAATCCACTAACTTTAGAGGTTTTTTAATGATATTATTGTCTACTAACTTACCTCTTTCTAACACCAACAGTCAACAATAAAAAAGGGAAGGCTAGTGAACCAAAACACAGCCAAAAGAAGGGTAAGTAATCAAACATCCATCCAGTAAGGGAAGGGAAAACTTGAGAATTTGTGAACAAAATTTGTCAAATTATGGCTGTTTTGTTGAATATCAAGAAAGTAAAAATATCGCGACTTACTGGCTTGTGTGATTGGATATTATCCCTGAGAGACAACTTGGTTTTGATGAATCACTTGTTTATCAAGAATGAGTTACAGTCTCTAATAGTTCCTAAGAAGAGCTGCAAATGAAAAATTAACTATTTTGGAAATTTAGCCTTAAGATAGAAAAGGAACAAACTGGTGTAACACTAAGTGCATGTTTGTGTTACATGTACACATAGCTTCCTGCTCCCTCTCACACCAGGACCCATGTGAAAGATATGCTCTTAGAGCTCCAATATATGCTCTCAAAAGCTTTCAAAAAGCAAGTTTTACATGAATTGTACAATGGCTTAAGTTGGTTATCTTGCCTGTGGTACAAGGGATTCATAAGAAGATTGTCATGCTTTTGTGGGTAGTTGATGCAGAGTACTAATTTCCAGATTTATTTCAGAATTAACTTCCAATATATTTATAAAGTACTTTGAATGTACTTTTAAAATAACAAGAATGTGGTTGAGTGCCTTTCTTAGTAATAATTTGTCATATTAACCCTGCCACATCTCTTGTCTCTTTTGTGTTAAAGGTAACCTTAGCTTTTACACTCAGACAACTGTGAAATAGACCATTCTCAAACACAATGAGCCTTAAAAGACCATCAGTGAGTTGTATCAACTGAAGTAAGTTTTCTTTTTTAAGTATGTGAGACAATGTAAGCACTGAACTCTTGTGAACCTTATCTATTCAAGTTTCCAAGAACACCACCACCAAAAAGCAGACCGCTAAAGCTTCCAACACAACAAATAAAAAGGAGAAGAATGAAAAAGGTAACAACCTTTGACACATCACTAATGGCTTGTTCCAGGCTCAGATGGTCAGTGGAGACAAAAAGAGAGCACTGAGGGCTAATATTTGCATGCTTACTTTCCCCATGCACTGACCAAGAGCCTGGAAAAGGCTAGTTCCTTTTTTAAAAATTATAGTTTTTAAATACTGTAATACTTCAATAGAATAAATTAATATATGAGTTATCTTCTTTATTCATTGCATGTGGGTACATGAAGAAGTAAGCAATTGCAGTTTTAAGATGGAACACCTACTGAATTAGTTTGGTGATAGCATATAGTCATATCATTATAGTGCATGCATGCTTAGTCTTGGATTTGTTTTGACATTATGAAGGAAAAGTTTGTTGAGTTGTGATATTTGAATAACAAGTACAATGTTGGCATTCTTGTGTGAAGAGCTCATTAAAAAAATCACAGAGATAATATTATTGATAATGAGAGGAGCATTTTCTTTAGTTATGTGCAGTTTTTGTGCTTATTTTTTTTATCACCTAGTTTGATTTTCTGTTTTTATATTCAGCTGTGTGCCATTAGTTAATTATGCTGGACTTTTTTTAAGGTGCATCTGAGGAAATTCCTGCTAAAAAACCAAGAACTCAACCTATTAAAAGAAAGAGTAGCAAGGATAATACAGGGAAAGGTAACTTATTGGTAAAAATGAGCATTATTTTATAGTTTAGCTTCAAGTCAGATTAAATCTTTGTATAGGATCTTATACATAAATGTGGGGTTAGAGTCTACCTTTGCATGAAGTGCTCAATGCTGTGGTAGCAGAGCTAAGTATACATAAGTTAAAGAATTAAAGAGGACGCGCTGATTCTCTGTGACTCTGAGTTTCGTGCCTAAGCGCTCATCAGACAGAACTTTATTCAATGAAGAACATACCTTCCTAATGTTCTTCATTGAATAAAATTCTGTCTGACAAGCCCTTAGGTGCAAAACTCACATGTTTAAAAAGAAAACTAACTTGATACAACTCATTGATGGTCTTGTAAGGCTCATTGTGTTTGAGAATAGTCCATTTCAGGGTTGTTTGAGGGTAAAAGCTAGGTTAGCTTTGTCACAAAAGACACAAGAAACCTGGTAAGGTTAGTATAACAAATTATTACTAAGAAAGGCACCCTCAACCACATTCTTGTTCATTGGCATCTAATTTTGCAAATACAAATTGGATCACTCAAAGTACTCTACAATTATATTAGAAGATAATGCATATTGGTAGTTAATGCATATTGCTATTTTCCAAATTTTATTTCAGAGTTAACTTTTAATATAATTATGAAGTACTTTGAATGATCCATTCTGCATTTGCACAATTAGATGCCAATTAACAAGAATGTGGTTGAGTGTGCCTGTCTAAGTAATAATTTGTTATACTAACCTTGTCAGGTCTCTTGTCTCTTTCCTGATAAAGCTTACCTTAGCTTTTACCCTCAAACAACCCTGAAATGCACTATTTTCAAATGCAATGAGCCTTACAAGACCATCAGTGAGTTGTATCAGCTGAAGTAAGTTTTCTTTTTTAAGTATGTGAGACATTGTAAGCACTGAATTCTTGTGAACCTCATCTATTCAAGTTTCCAAGAACACCACCACCAAAAAGCAGACTGCTAAAGCCTCCAATGCAACAAATAAAAAGGGGAAGAAAGAGAAAGGTAACTTTTGATATGTCACTTATGGCTTGTTCCAGGCTCAGTTGGTCAGTGGAGACAAAAAGAGAGCACTGAAGGCTGTTATTTGCATGCTTACTTTCCCCCTGCATTGACCAAGAGCCTAGAAAAGGCTAGTTCCTTTTTTAAAAATTATATTTTTAAATACTGTAATACTTCAATGGAATAAATTTATTTAATCGATTAGTTGTTATCTTTATTCATTGCATGTGGGTTCATGGAGAAGCTAATTGCAGTTTTAAGATTTAAAACCAACTGACTTAATTAGTTCAGAAATAGCACATAGTCAAATTATTAGTGCATGCATGCCTGTTCTTGGCTTTGTCCTACATCATGAAGGAAAAGTTTGTTGGAGGTATGATATTTGAATAACAAGCACAATGCTGGCATTCTTGTGTGAAGAGCTCATTGAAAAAAACACAGAGATAATATTATTGATAATGAGAGGAGCATTTTCTTTCTTTAGTTATGTGTAGTTTGATGTTCTGTTTTTATATTCAGCTGTGTGCCATTATTTAATTATGCTGGACTATTTTTTAAGGTGCATCTGAAGAAATTCCTACTAAAAAACCAAGAACTCAACCTATTAAAAGAAAGAGTAGCAAGGATAATACAGGGAAAGGTAACTTATTGATAGAATCAAGCATTATTGTGTAGTGTAGCTTCAAGTCAGATTAAATCCCTGTACAGGATTTTGTTTATATATTTAATTATGTTGCTTCCAGTTTCCTAAAAAAGCAAATGGGGGGTGGTTGTAAGACAGGAACCAATTGTCAACAAGTCATCAACAGCATGTAGGAGAAATCTTTAGCAGACATGTTTTGCTGACTTAATGTCGCATTATATTAGAGACAAAGTTTTACAAGTGATGCGTAGGTAATTGACTTTGGCTCTCTTTAGGCTTTCTTTCGGCTTTGTTTGGTCATTTAATTTTTCCAAACAGACCTATCAAAGAGCTTTTTAATCACATGTACTAGGTTTGCCTTAACAATCACATATCTTTATAATCACAGTTACCTGTCAAGAAACACTTACTGAAACTGCAAGACCTCAAGCTTTGAAAACAAGCAGTGATTGGGGGAATGATATTGGAGGTGGCAAATATGCATATATTTTATCAATATTATACCAGCTTTTTTGAGCACATTTGTAGATCCCTTTTTGCTTTACTTTAGAGACAACCACTGTTAATGTTTCCTTATATAGTTTTGTTGCATAAAAGACATCATTCCATGTATAGTGTATAGTTTATAGGTTTCTTTGTTTATTTATTTATTTGTTTATTTTTTCACAAATCTCTATAATTACAATTTTCTTTCAAGAACCACCCACCAAAACTGCAAAATGTCAAGTTTTGGAAACAAGCAGTGACTGGGGAAATGATATAGGAGGTGACTAAATTACATATATTTTTCAACAACATACCTGCATTTCTTGAGTGCATTAGCAGATTCTTGTGAGCTTTACACCAGAGAAGACTACCGTTCAGGTTCCTTTACATAGTTTTGTTGGATTAAAAAAAATAATTTCATGTATACTTTTTATACTTACAATAGTTGAAGGTTTTGAGAGTAGTGTATTGTTTGTGTATTTTTTTCGTCTTCTTGAGTAATCCATTAACTTTAGAGGTTTTAATGTTATGTTATTGTCTACTAACTCAGCTCCTTCTAACACTTCTGAATTTAAAATCCAGATGCATCTGCACCTGCACCAACAGTCAAAAAAGGGAAGGCTAGTGAACCAAAACAAAGCCAAAAGAAGGGTAAGTAACCGAACATCTATCAAGTAAGGGAAGGGAAAACTTGAGAGTTTGTGAACAAAATTTGTCAAATTATGGCTATTCTGTTGAATATAAAGAAGTAAAAATACCGTGACATACTGGCTTGTGTAATTAAATATTATCCCTGAGAGACAACTTGGTTTTGATGGCCATCTAATGAGATCTCAGGAGAAGTTAGGCCCTAAAGTTGGTTGATTTCATTTGTTACATTGAGGAGTCTAAAGCATGAATCATTTGTAATAGTTCCAAGAGCTGCAGATAAAAACTTCACCACTTTGGAAATTTAGCCTTGAGATAGAAGGGGAACAAACTGGTGTAAGGCTAATTAAGTGCATGTTTGTGCTACATGTACACATAGCTTCCTGGTCTCTCATGCCAAGACCCATGTCAAAGATATGCTCTCAAAAGCTTTCAAAAAGCAAGTTTTACATGAGTTGTAATGGCATAAGTTAGTTATCTTGCTTGTGGCACAAGGGCTCTATAAGAAGATTATCATGCATTTGTGGGTAGTTAATGCATAGTGCTAATTTCCAGATTTTAATTCAGAATTATCTTCTAATATAATTGTAGAGTACTTTGAATGATCCATTTTGTATTTGCAAAATTAGATGCCAATGAACAAGAGGGTGCCTTTCTTAGTAATAATTTGTTATACTAACCTTACCAGGTTTCTTGTGTCTTTTGTGACAAAGCTTACCTAGCTTTTACCCTCAAACAACCCTGAAATGGACTATTCTTAAACACAATGAGCCTTACAAGACCATCAATGAGTTGTATCAAGTTAGTTTTCTTTTTAAACATGTGAGATATTGTAAGCACTGAATTCTTGTGAACCTTATCTATTCAAGTCTCCAAGAACACCACCACCAAAAAGCAGACAGCTAGAGCTTCCAATACAACAAATAAAAAGGAAAAGAATGAGAAAGGTAACAATTTTTGATATATTCCTTTATGGCTTGTTCCAGGCTCAGATGGTCAGTGGAGACAAAAAGAGAGCACTTAAGGCTGCTATTTGCATGCTTACTTTCCCCCTGCACTGACCAACTGCCTGGAAAAGGCTAGTTCGTTTTTTAAAAATTGTTGTTTTTAAATACTGTTGTAATACTTCAATGGAATAAATCTTTAGATGAGTGATTTTCTTTATTCATTGCATGTGGGTTCATGAAGAAGTAACACCAACTGATTTAGCACAGTCAAATTATAAATGCATGCATGCTGCTTCTTGTTTCACATCCTGAAGGAAAAGTTTGTTGGAGTTATGACATTTGAATAACAAGCATAAAAAAATAAGGAGATAATATTATTGATAATGAGAGGAGTAGTTTCTTTAATTCTGTGTAGTTTTGGTTTTTGTGTTTTCTTTTTTTTACCTAGTTTGATATTCTGTTTTTATATTTGAATGTGTGCCATTATTTAATTATGCTGAATTATTTTTTAAGGTGCATCTGAGGAAATTCCTGCTAAAAAGCCAAGAACTCAATCTAATAAAAAAAAGAGTAGCAAGGATAATACAGGGAAAGGTAACTTATTGATAAAAATAAGCATTATTATATAGTGTAGTTTCAAGTCAGATTAAATCCTTGTATAGGATCTTGTTAATATATATAATTCTGTTGCTTCCAGATTCCTAAAAATGCAAATGGGAAGGGGGTAGTTTTAAGACAGGAACCAATTATCAACAAGTCATCAACAGCATATAAGAAAAATCTTTAGCAGACATGTTTTGCTTACTTACTTATGTTGTATTATATTAGAGACAAAGTTTTACAACTGATGTATGGGTAATTGACTTTGGCTTTCTTTTGGCTATGTTTGGTGTTCTGTAAAAGCTGTGAGAGAAGTTGTCATTATTTTTAAACAGACAAATCCAAGAGCTTTTTAATCACTTGTACTAGAGTTGCCCTAACTATCACAAATCTTTATACCTGTTACCTGTCAAGAAACACACACCAAAATTGCAAAACCTCAAGTTTTGGAAATGAGCAGTGACTGGAAGAATGATACAGGAGGTGACTAACTTACATATATATTTCAATAATATAACTGCATTTCTTGAGTGCATTTGCAGATTCTTGTTTGCTTTACTTCAGAGACATCCACGGTCTGGGCGGTCTGGTAGAATAAGAAACATCATTACATGTATAGATTCTGCTTATGATAGTTGAAGGTTTTGAGACTAGTGTATTGGGTTTGTTTATTTGTTTATTTTATTTTTTTTCCACAAATCTTTATAATAACAGTTACCCATCAAGAGACAATCACCAAAACTGCAAGACCTCAAGCTTTGAAAACAAGCGGTGACTGGGAGAATGATAAAGGAGGTGACTAATGCACCTGTATTTTTCAATAATATACCTGCATTTCTTGAGTGCATTTGCTGATTCTTGTTGGCTTAATTACATAGAAGACCACTTTCCTGGCTCCCTTATATAGTTTTATTAAATAAACAACATCATTTCATGTACAGTTTGTACTCACAATAGTGAAAGGTTTTGAGAGTAGTGTGTTAGGTTTGTTTGTTAATGGTTTGTTTGTTAATTTTTTTTCTCTCAAAGTAATCCAACAACCTAAGGGGTATTATTGTTATATTATTGTCTACTACCTCAACTCTTTCTAACACTTTTGAATTTAAAATCCAGATGCATCTGCACCAACAGTTAGCAATAAAAAAGGGAAGGCTAGTGAACCAAAACACGGCAAAAAGAAGAGTAAGTAATAGAACATCTATTAAGTAAGGGAAGGAAAAAAATCGTCAAATTATGGCTATTCTGTTGAATATCAAGAAAGTAAAAATATCGTGACTTACTGGCTTGTGTGATTATATATTATCCCTGAGAGATAACTTGGCTCTGACGACCAGCTAATCGGAGATCTCGTGAGTAGATAGGCCATAAAGCTGGTTGATTTCATTTGTTATATTGTGGGAAAGGAGTATGGAGTGTTTTCGTTGGAGCTTGAGTTTACCAGTAATTTTGGGCTAGATTCTAGATTGTCAGACAAATGATTCATAGTCTTTTTATAGTTAAACAGGGCACACCAAAGATGGCTGAGTTAGAAGGATTGGGTATAGATATTGGTGACAAGTGGAAAACTCTGGGAAGACGCTTAAAAGTATCAGAGCAACTCGAAATAATCGATGCGCGATATAATATTCTTTCTGAAAAAGCCTTCCAGATGCTTCAATACTGGACCCAGAAAAGAGGTTCCTCTGCGACCTACAGAGTTCTAAGTGGTGCCTTAAAAGACGACCTTTTAGTACGTAAAGACTTGTCAGAAAAGTACTGTTATGGTTGACAGTTGACATAACAAATATTTTCTTGTCTTTTAACTCTGATTTACGAGGGAGTGAGCGGTTTAGTATGTACTTTCTTTGCTCTATTTTCTTGTTCTTTCAGTTACACATGTCACTTTCGTCGAAATGTTTAAAATGTACGTCCAAACTTATGACAGTTCTTTCACAAACAAAACAGCTGCTTAAGAGTCAGAGTTTTGTAACAGCAAACTAAATACAGTAAGCAAGAGTATTGTTTCGTGGTCGAATCTCAGAGTAGAATTTTAGAATTTCAAACTGATCGCTCAACATACAGGTAGCGATTATTTTTAAAGGATCAGACTGAAACAGAAAGGGCGATTTGCCGATTTTTTTTATTCTTGGGGTATTGTCTAGTTGGTAGGTTTCTATCAAATTTTCAACTTAATTTTAATTTTTTTAGAACGGCGTTTTTGTCTCTTTTTCATGCTGAGCACCAGTAGATTTAGACCGTCAGTAGTACTAAACAAGTTAACTGGTATATCGTATGAATAGCTTGTAGGTTGATAAATGTAATTATTTTAGACTTTTTTTAGGTCATTATTACATTTCTGCGGGTGAATTGTTGTAATTTACGAAATTACCAAGAAATTGTAATTTTTACACCCCGTTATTAATGTGTTAATGGAGAATTCCTCCCAAAAAGTGTTAGAGAAATATTTGGTAAGGATGGCAGTTATTTTATCTTCATGTTAAATCATAAATTTTGTCCGTTAAAGCTATAGAAGGTTGGATAGGATTATTTTTATGGATCTAGGTAAATACAAAGTTTGTGATATTGCACACCTTTTAAAATATGGATTTGGTGTTAAGTTAAATTATTGTTCTTAGATACCTAGTGTCGTAAAATGTAAATTACAATTATCCGTAATAAAATACGTTTAACGTATTGAAACTCACAGCAAGCAATGTTTTTGTTGTTCAGCATCAAGCAGAAACTCGTGCATTCGTGAGGGTAACCTAATTGTTAGATATCCCAAGAAATTTCTTCGAGTGAGCCTGCTGAGGGCAGTCAGTTTTCTTCCAATTTTCACTACTGTGAGAGCCCAGGACAGACTTGGTCTACTAAACCGCAAAACAGCAGCTTGTTCTTTATTTATTATTGTTATTATCATTATTATAATTACTACTATTATCAAAAGAAAAACCCTGAAGTAAAAAAGTGAGCGTTGTTTTTTCGACATGGAACGACGAGCTTATTTTTATTTCTCAAATACCAGCTGTTTTATTTCTTTAATTTTTTTTAATCGTAGTAATTTTGTGTATTTCGATATTTATAGCGATTTCTAACCTGGTGTTTCCCTCGCTGGAATTAGTTACCAGGCTCTTTTAGCATGCAAGCTACCAGACTTATATGGAGACAAAAATTTATTATTTACCGCTCTACTATAGTCTTTAAAATCTTATGCTATCTATTATTCCGGTTTGGAAATGTAAAACCGGCTTTGACCATCGAGAATAAGAGAATGCGAACATCCTCGGCACTGAGAAGCTCCTGTTGCAGAGGTCCACACGCACGCAACCTCACGGGGCTGCGGGGGACATCTAGCTACACGCGTGATATCGCATGTGTAGCGTACCTGAGTCCTTGTTTTCAGGCCTTGCTCCACGATGTGCGTGGATGGGAATCAAGTTTGCAGATTTATGCACGCGTCTTCTTTCCCGCTCAAAACATCCTCGAGGTGCCAAGAAAAGATGAAAAGAGTCAGAACTTTCCTCAACCAGTGGTAAGCGGAAATTCTTACAACAAAACGGGAACAAATTACGTTATATTGTCAGCGGTAGGTCAGTCTCCAGTCGAAGACTGGAATTCGAACGAAATTGTAATCCCAGCGAAATGAAGTCAATGTTTCTCGCTAAGAATCGCTGAAATTTTATCTGCCGTTTTAGTTGTATTTTATATAGACGTTAGCTTTGCTTATTATTTGACATTTTCTAAGATCCGCTCTCAGTGTTTATTAAATATGAAGATCGATAAACGACCGTTGAGATCTTATACTCAACGACTTAACGTTGCACGATCAAGCTTGTTTCAATATTAAGCTCAATCTTAATGCATCTAGAATTCATGACGGTCGAACGAAGATGGATCCATTTTTTCTAAAAAGGTATTTTTAACAAAGGAAAACTATGAGCCCAATATAGAGAATTATGCTATGAAACCAACCTTTCTCTCGCGGCTACCGCACTTAGTGCAACTGTAAACCGGAAGTCACGCATGAGAGGCGATCGAAGTTTTCTCAAGATAATCCATGAGTTTGTAAATTTTTGTTGTGCTTGCTGATTGCTCTCATGCTGATCAACGAAAAAAACAAATTCAAAGCATCCTAATTTTTTGCGTTGTCCCTCGTGTGTAGTATGCTGTTGAACACGATCTTTGTGAATAGTGGTAAAAGGAACCGATACCATTATTTAACCTGTAAATCTACACGAACAGGAACAGTTGACATAAACTTAGAACAATTTAGGATAGTCCACAGGTGTTTCATCAACAGTTTGTTGCTAGCAGGGTATAGACATGGGTGATCAAATTACAGAGCTTCTGCAGGAAAGATTTGTGTGCAGCCTCATACTTCATTATGCACATAGTTTTTGGATAAACAAAACAATGGCAAACCGATAGATTACCTTTGTGACTACAGCTTTGTTTTAGAAGAGTTTGAGGTTGTACGAAAATCTTTTCCTACTTTGCTACAAATTAATTTTGAGCTTTACTTTACGGAAATAATTTCACTCTAAAAGGATTCTGCTTGAGGGACAATTTTGTTACCCTTTTTATGAGCTAGAGTGTTAAATGTAAACTTTTAAGTACCCTGGCATAGATTTTACATTTATTGTTTTAACATATACTGTATAAAGTAAATGTTATTTAATTTACCATGCATGAAATCTGTTTTTTTGTTTTGCCACGAATGGGTGGGAAACTTTGGCACTTTTGTCCATATTTTAAAAAGCTGGGCCAGCAACAAGGATGTAGTTAGCCAATCAGAGTTAAGAATTTAAGATTCCAGCCTGATAAAGTGTTTCTGAAAAAACATATATATATATATATTATCATTAAATTTTGAACTAGCCTTGTCAAAAGAGTCTATTATTTACTGTTTTTGTTGCTTGAAAAAGAAACTGCTCTTATTGATTTACTGACTAAAGAACTGAGAATAATTTTCTTGTCGTGTTGACATTGTTTTCTTTTTAAAGAGGTTTATAGAGGGCACAATAAACATCCACAGGCAACCATGTGTCAGCTGTCTCCTACAAGTGGAAAGAAGATGATGATTAAAAGTTTGTTAAATAAGTGATTGAAAGGTAAGAACCCTAATGTAGTTTAAAAACCTGATCTACTGCTTTTTCAAAGTTTAATAGATACATAAGAATTAATATACATGTAGGTAATGACATGATTTCAAGTACAATATGATGAAAATATGCACATATAAAATTTTCAAAGACAATGAAAACTGCAGTAACCCATACATGTATTATAATTATTTCCAAAGTGAAATAAATATTCTGAGGGTAAGACTTCCTCAAATGTGCTGGGAGCCTAGAGAGTGGCAGAAAGAAGACGTACAGGATAGGTGGGGGACCCTATGTCAGTTAAGATTATGCAATGTTGAGGAGTGGGAGTAAAAAAATTAATGATAAATTAGTATAACAAAGTCTAGAGATGTTATTGAGAAGGCCACTGGAATCCAATGATGAATAAGACTTTAAGAAATTTTGCAGAAGAGTATTTGGAAACTGCATTGTATTTTATTACAATAATTGCTGAAGTTTGGTAAGTGCTGGTAAAAAGTCAATAAAAGAAGGCCAAGGATTTACAAGTAAAATAAATATTTTTAGGGAACCACTTCTCACATGGAGTTTAACTGGGAAGGCCAACAGACTTTTTTTGTGTTGGTTTTTGTTGGGTTTTTTCAAACTGATTACAAGAATGTTCTGTAGCATTCCAATCATGTTATACAAACTGACCAGAAGGAAACATCCTAAGTCTATGAAGTAGAATTGTTTGTCTATTGATTTTTGCTATGTTTTGATGGTGTACTGGGCATCTTTATCAGGCAATAAGGTTGACTGGGTATGTGTTACCTTATGAACTGTTCTGCTCAGTTGTAATTGGCTGGAATTCCACAGCTGTGATTGGCACATCCTATTAACTTATTAACATATATTTACAAAGTGCATGTGCATGCAGGACCATTGCTTAAACCCTTTAACTCCCATGAGTGATCAAGACAGAATTTCTTCTTACAATATCAATACAATATCAACCAGATGAGTGATGAGATACTAAATTCTCTGAACTAACATTATAAGAATTGTATGGTTGACAATAAGGAGAATTAAAAATTTGATCTGGGAGTTAAAGGGTTAATTTATCCTTTGCTTTAACCCTGCTTTGATGATCATTCTTCTGCACTTCATGTATCAGTGGTTTGACTAATGTTCAAATTTATGTGAATGATATCGAGCCATACTTCAGTCAGGTTGTGTTGACACATATTGGTATCCCTAGTGAAGTAACATCAGTTTTTTTTAAGTACTATATATTTTATTTTAGGCAAGGCATGTGCATACAATCAGCCTTCATTATTTGCCGATGAGGAACCTACAGAAAGGACAATGCAATCCTCAATGGGCCAGGAGGTAACATCCTTTTTTTAACTTACAATTGCATATTGTTGGAGAAAATTTGTAAACTTATTAATTTTCTTCTCTTCATTTCAGCTTTTTGACATCACTAAAGACAAAGAAAAGACTCAGCAACAACCAATTAGACTCACTCTGTTGAGTACCGAATGGAGGCCATCTCTATTAAACCTTTCTATAATCATAAGAGGACTTGCCATAGAGTTAGCTAAAGACCCACATGTGGAAGTTAGTGTCTTTGTTCCTCACTGCAGTGAAGAGGACAGGAGAAATGCTGCAGGTTACAATGTTCAGCTCATTGAAGCAGAGAAAATGGTTCCTGTTACTCATCCAATTGACTGGCTGATTAATTTACCCCAAGGACATGTCATGGATTGTGTTTTAGCTTATGGTGCAAGTGATGGTAGAGAAGTGCCTTACATCATCAAAAAGCAGCATAATTGTAAATGGATTCAAGTGGTTCTTGAGGAACCTGGAAGGAACATCACAGACCTTTCAGAGGGTGAAAAATGGGATCAGGCAGAAGTGGAAATCTGTGAGATAGCTGATCAAATTTTAGCCATTGGGCCTAAGCTTGCAGATGCATATCAACACTACTTTTATTCTAGGAATATAGATCAAACTGTGTTAATTTACACCCCAGGCATTTTCTCTGAGATTTGGGATGTTCCACAGTTAGATGTTGTGGATATCAAAGAATCATCACCTTTTGTTGTTTTACTATTTGGTCTCAGTGGAAAACTTGAAATTAAGTGGTGGGAAATTGTTGCTGAAGCAATGTCTGCATCGGAGGATGAAACCCACATACACATTTTACTCTCCTCAGAGGTAAATACAGATGCCATGGAAAGAAAGTTATTTGATAGTTTCATAAGACACAATCGACTGTTCTTTAATGTTGTCGTTAATAACAGCTTTACAATAGCAGAACTTACTAATTTATTCAGTGAGGCAGATCTTGCCATAATGCCATTCTGGACTGAAAGTTTTGAATTAGCAGCACTTGGAGCCCTATCTGTTGGTTTGCCAATGCTTGTCAGAGGTTCTTCAGGATTTGGGAAGGTTCTAAAAGAAGTTCCCTTAGGCCCTCAGTGTGTAGTTGACTCTGATGATCCTAAAGACTGGACCAAGGAAATTAGAGCAATACAACAAAAACCTAGGGTAGTGCGACTTAAAGAGATGAAACTTATCCGTGAAAACTACTCGGAGAAATACAACATGGAGGAATCCTCTGGAAGACTTTTGAAAAAGATGCTTGAGTTGGTGTCAGGTACAAGTTCTATTTTGTCAATTAAGTTACAAGTTTAATAATTTTATTATTGATTGAATTTACATGACTGTTGCCTTCTCCATTTACTAACAGTAGGTTCATTATGATGCACAATAGGTTAGCTCCTGAATTTTATTTGTTAGTTAATTTTGGATGTTCAAAGGACAGAGCAATCAATTTTCAGCTAGTATTCTCTGCATATATGAGTTTTTAACTGTGACTCTTATTAGCTTAGAATTAGCTTGTTGTGGTTCTGACTTATTCTACAGGATATTATGAGATAACTTGGTTTAGTCCTATAATTTCTTGCAGATGAGCCTTAACAATTCTCAGACTTTGTTTTCATATCACACTTAATAATTTTCCAAAGCAGGATTGAGAAGAAAAATGCAAATTGTTTTACACAATGATATAAAGCAATTCTTTTGTGTCTTTTAGTGAAGGTGTAGAGATTTTAGCATGGTGGTAATTTCTTGCATTATTTTCCAATCAGAGTTGATTTTAAACAAAACATAATGCAGCATCAATAGTTAGCTTTAGCTTTATCCTTGAATTTTGAAATTATAACAGGATTCTGGGGATGACAACTGGTTAACATCCCTCTCTCATTTGAAGGCAAGGAACTCTACCTTTAGAAAGAGTTATTCTGGTTAGTTCAATATTCTCCAACAACATTTTATGGGGTCAAATTACAGGTAGATCTAAAAGCAGATTAAAGTCAAGGCGATCTTCAGCTAAAAGGTCATCACCTGGTGTTCATGAGTTCACTGCCAAGAAACATAAGGGAGAGCCAATGACTTTGCCATCAACATCCACTAAGGAAACAACCCACTATAAAGAGTGGCTGCAACAAAGGGAGAGAGAATCAATGCTGATTGAAGAAGATGGTAAGTTTAAGAATGAATACTTAACCAAGTGAATTTTTTCATGAAGGAAAAGGGGGTTTCAATGTCTCATACTGTCAACACTACTCATGTTAAACTTAACTAGATTTACAATTGTAGAGATTTGACCCCTTTGTCTGGATTAGCTGAGACAAACTTTTTACAAGGGGAAAATACAAACTGGTGTTGGAAAATTTGAGTTTCACTATGTTTGTATGCTTGTTTTATTAAAAATATTTAGTTCCCATGGAGGGCGTGATGTCCCAGTTGGTAAATGTTAAGATGGAACCAGATACTGTGGAACACTTAGAATTGAAAAAAGATCCATTGCTGGATGTTGAAGTGATCACAAGATCTGTCCTTTTTAGGTAAGAATTACTATATCTAACTCATCAATTTATTATCGGTAAGGTGGCACATATTGCAAGAGTCAACTGGTTAATTTGGAGAATTTATATTTAGTAATCTGTGGATAGTATTGAGAAGATTTGGTATCAAAGAAAAACCAATTGACTCTGCACAAAGAGATTGATTGATAAGAGTGGCAATGGTTTTACCATCTAATACTGAGAGATGATGACCTCTTTCTGATTGGACTTAAAGCATATTTTTAACTCTGTGTAGGGGACTGTGAGCTGCCCTTCTCAAAAGAGCCACTATGAACTTCCATAGACTTAGAGATTTTTATCACCAATTCATGTAGCTTTTGCACAGGTGCAAGGATAAATACATGGTTGAAAATGAGATTGATTGATTACAGGTATCTGGTTTGAGGTAGCTTAGTCAGAATTCAGGGCCTGGTCAAAGTTTCTTTTCTTTTTTCTTTCCTTTTTTTTTTAAGTCATTCATATACCAAACCGAAAAACAAAGGAAACAACGCTTTGCTAAATTAGTGACAGGATAGATGAAACTTATAAGTTTCTTCAGAGATAGCTTTGAGGACAAGTCTCATCACTCCCTCAGCTTTTTTGGTTATATTTTTTAATGTTCTAAAGCATAACTGTTATTGAAAAAGGGGGATAATTTTCTAAAGAAACTTTGGTGCTGCGTTGGTGGGAGAGTATAACATGGTAATTTGGTATTATCAACTGATTTAATAACATAAATTGGCCACCGTAAAAAGCTGCAAAGCTAACGTTTCGAGCGGTAGCCCTTCGTTATTCGCTCTGACGAAATCTAACGCTCGAATTGTCAACTTTGCAACTCTTTAAGGTGGCCAATCTGATAATACCAAATTACCCTGTCATAACTGTTATTGCCGACCTTATTTTTAGGGGTGAAGTTACAGAAAGAGGTTGTGTATGGAACCTACCGGAAGCAGCCGCCTACTTCACATTTCATGAGGGAGCTGTGCCAAAACCTTTGTTATTTACTTGTTCAGTATTGCCTGTTAAACTTCGCTGTCCGCCCATTTCTAGTGATGAACTTTTGGTAAGCAATGTGATTGAATTGTCACATGATGGTCCACCAGACCTAGAGTTAAGTGGAGATGATGAAGGAAACGTAACTGTGGCTTTGTTGCACAGTGCAACTGATTTGAAGGGCTATGAAGTGGTTATCAAGCAATTGGTGGATCCATATGACAACGTATGGAAGGATTTGGAGACTTGGCATGCATCAGGTACAGGTTACATGTCATTTATGATGATTGTTAGTGAGCTTTTGGATAGTGTCACAAAACCAAAACCAAAGTACAAACTGTAATCATAACAGCCAATCAGAAGAAAGGAAATAATTGTACGAGCCAATGAAAACTCAAAGTACAACCGAACAAACTGCCTAATAAAGCGCGGGAAAACGCTGGCGACAAAGTCTTGATTTGTTTTATTTTTGCTTGTGATTGGTTGAGAGAGTGGCGCGAGTTTTCTGGACCAATCAAAGAGCGAAGAAAAACAAAAACAAATCAATCCCGGATTACTTTATACACTCATTCGAAAATTTCTCTTTATAATTATCGATTGTGAAGTCTGAAAACCTGGGTGAGGGTATATAGTCCTGAAAAGAACTGACTTCGTTGACAGTTTGAAGCGTTTCGTTAACCTGAGCAGAAGTCATCGTCAGAGTCCAGTGTGGAGTTGTTTGTAAGTCGAATGTTGTATGTGTGATCGAGATTGTAGGGTTCAGTGCAAGTTGACTCATACACTAGTTTGTTGGTATCCTTCGTCCTTTATTGAATTGTTTTGTTTTCGCGCCGGTTGTTCTCATTCTTCCGCCCTCTAAGACTTAAAGCCGACGACACCGCAGCAAAACTGACCAATCAGTTTTCACGAATCAGACTCATATGTTCGACTTACAAGCAAATATTCGCGAGAAATTGATGATGGTTTCCTCAAAAGTTGCTGAAACATCAGTCTTTTACCACCTACAACAGTCCTTCAGCCAGAAAATTAGACTACACAATCATTTTTTACTCTTTAGTCTATCCTTTTTCTGCATCATAGAAGTAATACAGTTGTCATTATTTTTTGGCACCTATCAAGAAAACAGCTCAAAATATTCAACTGAAATTTAACGTTTATGTGTAGAAAAACCAGAAGTTTCTGACTGGCGTCAGCTTGTTGAAGCTACATGCACCCCGTCACGATGTTCCTCGTTTGCTGCCATCTGGCGCCTAAAGTCCTTCACATTCACAAGACGTACTTCAGTGGCTCCTCAATTCACATGTGTAGTACCTGACTTTCCAGACATACGCGTTGAAGTTCCTTCCAGTTCTGTACCTGTTGATCAGGACTTTACTCTGACAATTAAGGTATTGGAAAACCCCGTTAACTCGCTCGATTAACTCGAACCCCCAGCTAACTCGAAAAGGACCCGATCTCCCTAGATTTTACCTCATTTTTCCGGTGACTTACTATAAGCTGGCTTAAACTCGGTTAACTAGAATTCCCCGTGAAGTCAAACTAATTTTACTTTCCCTTGACTCAAATTTACGCTGAGAACTCGAACTTAAAGTAAAATGTTGGTCTCAACCTTTAATCACGATGGATACGAACGTGATAACATTTATGAAAACATAATACATTCAGCTGAATTTCCCAAACTAAGAAGCACTTAATACAAACTAAATGTAAGTATGTGACTGTTGATTGTACAAGAATGGTAAAAACGTGATTCCTTATTAATTATTAACAGGATAAATCCAAATCAACACCAAGTCCGATAACTAGAACCCCTGCTAATTCGAACCAGTTTTTGTTTCCCTCTGGATTTCGAGTTAGGGGGTTCTATTGTATTATCTGTTACTTTGTAGATTTCTTATCAAACTTCACTGCGGGGTACATTGATCCATTTGCATTCTTGCTTTTCCCTCATTTGATTAAACAGAAAATGCTCAAAATCAGACCCAGATTTTCAAAATTAGATTTAGATTTTTCTTTTGTCCTAATTCAGAGGCAAATGACTTTGAGATGTGTTTGCATGTGCTTGTTAATGAAATAGCTACACTTGCATCTCCGTTACTTTTACTCCCTAAAAAACATGCGTCTAAATAAAACCTCCCACAGAAGTAACTTTTAAAAGGTTGTTCTTTCTTTACTCAAGGACAATCTGAAAATTTTATCATCTATCCTGGTCTAAGAAAGAAGATTGTTTTATGGGTGTTATTCACCAAAAGTCAACACCTTTTCTGATTTTTCATCTAAGGTACAAGAATTTCCAAGCAATGAGGTTGAAGACATTGGGATACTGTGTGGTCCTGTCATTCACATTTCAAGCTCTCAGAACATTGTACATATGGAGCCTGTGACTTTCAAGGTTCCCCTCGCCCTTCGTGAAAGTAAACATGACTTTTCAGAGCTTTCAAGTGAAATCATAAAGATATTATACCTCGACTCAGAGAGCAAACCATGGAACGCTAGCTGGACGGATATCACAGGTCATCTAGAAGGGCCAGTTACTGTTAAAGATGGAATTGTAGAATTCAAAGTGAAGCATTTCTGTCGGTGAGTTCTATTAAATCTTTAGTTACAGGGGAAAATATTTCATATTGATTTTTGAATTCCATCAATAGACAGGATGTTTGTCATATGGGCCTAGTTTTCAGCCCCTAGTTAAATGATTTTCTTGTTGGCCGCACTCTCACTGTTTTTCTTCAGAGCATGCCTTTAATTTGTTACCGACAGGGTGAGTTGGTTGTTAGCCGCACTGCCACGCAGGAGGTGGGGGGTTTTAGCCGAGGAACAGACCAACATTATGCGTATTATTTGAGAAAAATTGAAGAGCGTGTGCTACCTTTTCGATGTCATCGGGAAATGATAAGACTAGCTAGTCTTCTCGAGTAAAGGCTATTGACCAGGGTTTTCAATAAAAAAAGCCGCCAACCAGTGGTCTACCACCGCCTAAAAGACCATTTACCGCTGTCTGTTTAGCCCGCGACCAAACTTTCTCGATATCGACGTGTCTGTGCGGAGTGAAACAGCCTTCCACGTCTTAAAACACGAGGGATCATTTTTGAGTAAGATGTTACAGTTTATTCGTGTTACTTTCTGTTTTGCAGATTCTGTGTCTGCGCGTTCCGTAAACCCGTTGCTCTTTTGGAAGATTTTTTTCGTCGTCTTTTCTTCAGACCCATGCCTCAATGTGTACATTTTCTCACTTGTTTATGTAAGACAACAGTTCCTGATACTTACGGCCTTTTACTGTACTGTTATCCAAACTTTAAAAAAGCTGAGGTGGAAAAGAAATTGTCAAGCTATGACGCACCTTACAAAGGTGAAGGAAAGTCAAAGGAGCCTGCTTGTGTCGGGGATGAAATTGTGGTTTCCCCATTAGCGCTTGATTTTGTGAGGGAGTCTCAAAGGAAAGAAAAGGTAGTTCTCAGGTAAGTTACTGATTTCCATTGAAAGGTTTGTCACGATACAGCATGGTAAGGCCAAGAGGCTCGACTATCCAAATTACCTCTTTATACTCTAACTCCCAAGATCCGATCGTTAATTCTCCCCTTCAGCTGCAACAGATTTCCTCGTAAATTGATTACGAGAATTTGGTGTTAGACCAAGATTACAACTTCTACCCGATAAGTTTGAGTATTTTCATTACCTGTTTCCTGGATAATATATGGATATTATAGGGAGAAGTTTCTTTTTAATCACTCGTGGGAGTAAAGGGGTTAAAAGGGAAACAACAAACCTGGCAGGTTTTATACATTTTTATGAATCGCTTCCATAGGTCACTGACATTTCTAACAGTTTGTTAAGTTAGTTGTTCAGTTATCTTGTAGGAATGTTAGTTAAGTATACATTTAAACTTTGAATAATGCGTATGGTACTTGTAGGATAAATATTTATTAGTTTTTGTACAAGTTACATCTTGGTAGCAGGGTTAAAAGTTCCGCATTTATCGGGTTGGACATGAGTCGGGAGCGGGGGGGGGGGGGGGTGTGGGGGAAGGAGGGTTGGTTTGCGGCCAGTAGAGAAGTCGAGATAAAATGAAACCCAGGCAATCTACCAAGAAATATTTATTTGGTTTCCATTTTTCAGGTTTCTTGGAAATGATATATCTGACAACAGTGACATGGCTTTGATTGTTCGCGTGGACAGCGAAAGTGTTCCAACAGTGAAGTTCTCCAAAGACGAAGAGCTGCAAAAACTTCTCTGTGAAGTGCCGATCTTGAAGACTCGACCAGCGTCTTCGGTACAGATAGCACCGTTTAGTAAATGTTCCTTTTAGCGCAATATTCAATTGAATATCGAAAGTAATCCGAGATTGCATTGGTTTTACTTTACTTTGCATTGTTATTGGTCCAGAAAACTCGTGCCTCTCTGTTAACCAATCACATGCAAGACTCACGACTTAGTTACCCGCGTTTTCCCGCGCTTTAGGCAGATTGGTTGTTTTTACTTTGACTTCTTATTGGCTCTTAAAGGTATTTTCCTTTCTTCCGAATGCTCGTTGTGATTATTTTGGTTTTACAACTCTCCAAATTTAATTCATGACCTAAACCAACTCTTATTATTGGTACAGCAGCTTACTTTGCATCTTAAATTATCTTAGATGATTCGTGGATTTTATTCTAGCGTAAATGCTAGATTCTAAAATCTCGAGAATGAAAGATTTCGTTCAGAATACTGTTTCTTTTAGATTTTAGTATCTTCAGGCTTTAAATACCAATTAGCATCAAGCAGATGAGCAAAAATGGATGTCTTGTGACGTATTGCTGTTTTGTTGTTTTTTTTTTTTAATAATGATTCCTTGTTATTATGTGGCAGGTTCCTGTAACAGAGGGCGGAGATCAAAGATTGGTACCGGAGGAAAGACCTGCACTTGGTGAGTGGGCCTTTAAAATCATTCGATCATAGGTGGGGGGTGGTCCTAAAACCACGCGTTGTATTCCTCTTTTTCGGCATTTAGTAAAGTCACTAAGTCAGCTGTCAGGGTGCAGTTTAGATGACGCTCGTTTTGATTAAGGACCAGACATTGTCGCCGGTGGGGGAAGGGTCTGAAGATTTTGGTCGAGTCACGATAAAATGAATCTGATCCCTCTTATGGTCTCTTCTCCCCCCCCCCTCGATCGCAGTTTATTGAAAGTCAATTTTCTCTACAACCCCCCTTTGTACTCTGTTGACGACAACCGATCCCCCCTCAATTTCCCCTGAAAACCATGTCATCCCCCTCGAAAAAAAGTCCTCCGTCTGCTACCCCCTTACTCCACCCCCGCGATAAAAAATGACTGGTGCCTTTACAAAAACCCAAAAGAGAAAGGGGCCAGTAGCATACATATTTTGTCAGGTGTTCCAACTGTCGTTGATCTGAGGAGTATTCCCCTCTCCGTCATTATCTACCTTTTGACTATCATGAAGTAAATCTTGTTGGTTTTTTTTTTGCAGTTAAAGATGGTGAACCAGATGATGTTGAATTGTCTGACATAGCCGAGAAAATTCCTCAACTGTGGAGAAAACTCGGACGTATTTTAAGAGTTCCACGGGAAAATCTAAACGAGCTTGGTATAAATCACAGGGACGATGCCTATGAAAGGGCTTTCCAAGTACTATCGAGCTGGAAGGAAACTTTAAGTGATGGTGCAATTTCAGGGTATCAAGTATTGTTCGATGCCTTGACCAAAATTGGCCGCAGTGATTTGGCCAAAAAGTATTGTTGTTACTGATTCAAGTTGCGTGGTTTCGAAGAAAGAAAAAGTTACCAGCCGGCAGAGATGCTTTTTAATACTTTTTAGGTAGATCTTTACACAGATCTAATTCATACTCGCGTCTAGACCTAAGATAATTAAGTATCATCAACTGAAGTGATAACGTAAATTGGCCACCGTAAAGAGTTTCAAAGCTGACGTTTCGCGCGTTAGCCCTTCGTCATTCGCTCTAACGAAGGGCTAACGCTCGAAACATCAGCTTTGAAACTCTTTACGATGGCCAATTTGCGTTATTAACTCAGTTGATAATACTAAATTACCCAGTTATCACTGTCTTACCGACGCAGCACCACAGTTTATTTCGAAACTTACCCCGGGGGCCGGTCATTATTTCTCGCCTGGGTTGAGGTGGGTAGGATGATATTGGTTGTGTCACAATGAAGTTTACCTAATCCCCCCATAAGGATTTGAAGTATTCTAACGACCCCCTCCCCCCTCCCCTCATTGGCAATGAATTTCTATAATTTTCCCTTTATACTCTGTTACAGACGACTAATCCCCCTCTGTTCCCCCCTGAAAACCGTGTGATCCCCAAAATCCTCCGAATCCCCCCTTCAGCAGATGAGTAAGACTGGCTCCTAAGCTGGTCTTAAAGAAGCAGAACACGCTAATCTTACGAAACTGAGTCAGCAACAATCATTTTACCATTGTGAACGAAGTTTCATTTTTTAACCAAGAAAATAATTTTTTATTGTATATAAGAATCAAAACTACCTTTTTAAGTCCGTGTTTGTAATTATAGAAGATTTTCCAGTGTATTATTCATTAATTTTACTCTACAGTATTCATGTATAGTCTTTGAATTTTCAAGTAGCTGTACGTACCACTTTTAAACGATTACGTACCCTTTTGTTTCCATATCCTCTAAGGAATTTCTACGGAAGATATTTTTCATTCACTCCACTCCAGTTTTAAGCGTACATAGCTGTAAACTCGTTAGTAAACACACATACAATATTTGAATTTGTAAATACTGAGGCCATAAACAGTGTGAGAATGAAGAATTCGCTACCGGTAGACTCACGTCGAATTGTGCCAGCGATAACGTCGCCAAAATTTCCCAAGACAACTACATATCTAGGTAAAGGAGACCACAGTTTTTTTACTCAGTAAGTTTGAAACAACGTAAGACTAGATAGAAGGCCAGTTCTGTTGAGAAGGCTATAACAAAGATATCAGAAGACGTCTTCAGTGGTTGTTATTTCACGCGTGTTTATTTTACACTGAGCTGTATAAAAAGTATGACACTCGCATCGCGCATGATTTGAGAAACTGTTCTTTCTTTGGACACTGATTGCCTTTTCGTTACACGCCTTTATAATGGTAATAGGAGCAAGTGGAGTCCAATTCGGTCTGTAATCGTACGAGTTGAGGTCCTTTTTGAAAACCATATCTTTTATGAAAAAGTTTCCTCAATAAAGATGATTACTTAGTATGATTGCAGGTGGAATTGGACGACGCGAGGTCCTGTTACTAATTAATCAAAACTGCAACAAAATTTTAGAAAGAAACTAGACATCGGCTACACGTTTTCATAAAAAAAAACAACGGTTAACTCGGCGAAATGCGAGATAACAGCGTGCCCATGACGTGTTCTATCCACTTACAAAGGCATGAGGTGTTAACTGTCCTATTACACTGTCCAATTACAAGCATGACGCATGCACTGTCCTATCAGTGCTCAAATCGGGCTGATGATAACCAGTCACGTTCGAGAATTTTGTTTTAGTTTTGATTAGAGTTCTGATATTGGCTGTCTTGACCCTTTAACTCCCATTAGTGACCAAGACAGAATTTCTCCTCACAATATCAATACAAAATCAAGAAGACAAGTGATGAGAAGCAAGAAAGGTATCGATTTGCAGATTATCAGCAGATCAAATACCAACTTCTGAGAAGTAACATCAGAGGAATTGTATAGCAGACAGTAAGAAGAATTACTAATAAGATCTTGGGAGGGGAGGGGTTATTAGTGGCTAATGACGGTAAAAACCATGTATTTTTCATTAGTGCTTGAAGGTTAATTTTCAACGTCAAACCTACCGAAACCAACTTATATCTAAGTCCAGTCGAGATAGCGTGATCAAGAGTAAGAAGGAATCAAGATATTTTGGCCAAAATCATGACGTAATTTGATTTAATAATCCTGATTTTACTGTAAATAAAACCTTTTCAGAGGCTGAAAAATATAAAAAATGTATCATTTCCTCTTTTCCAAAAGGGGCAAGCCCCATTCAAGGATGGGAGAAAGGAGAGGGGAGGTGTAATATTCACCCAAACCTCTTAATTCTGGTTTAGTGTGGGAAAATTCTAAAATGTTTAGCGTACGAAATTACATGATCTTGCAAGGACACATTTTTTTCGGAAGTGCTGGTGGATTCCATTGGAGCTATGAGACAAAGTGAATTTGTCCTAGTGGCAATCATTTTCTTTCTTTCTTTTTTTCATTCACATTATGATAGTGTTGTAGATATAAATTAGGTGTTGAAATCAGAGGCGATGTCGGAGACGCACTAAGACACGTTTCCTAATAAATCACCTTTTGAATAATCTAGTGAAAAGAATCTCCGCTATCAAATCTACAGGAAAACTAACTAGCCGAACATAAATGACAACCTTGAAAGCGATTGATATTTTAGCACTAACGATTGAGTTTTATCACTGGTGATGATTATTCATTTGTGAAAATTCAAGTTGCCTTGAAATCAAGGTTGTTTTCAAAATGTGCAAAAACTGTTTTTTGAAATCAAGGTTTGATTTCAAGATTGACTTGAAATCAAGGTTAAAATCATGAGTTGACTTGAAAATTGTGGTGTATGACGTAAGTATTCATGCTGTCCTTGTCAGTCTCGTTTTCATGTATCATGTTCGGGTCGACATATATTGTGGGGAAATAAATCTCTGTTTAGTTTTCTTCGCGTCTTAAGACTCAATCCAACCGCTGGCCATTGCAGGACAGATTCTAATCGACGTGGACTACAACTGACAACGGGTAACACTTCCATTACTTGTTGTTCGCGCCGAGCGGTACACCCCTCCTTTGCTTAGACTGGAAAAGCCTTTTTCCAACTTCTCACGGTCAGTTTTCGATTTGTCAAGATAGCGATGAGCGGGTCGAATGTCTTAAAGGACAGTACGCTGAGATCTTTAAGCCTGAGATGGGAAAGGTCAAGGGTGTCGCAGCGAAATTGCACATGAAGGAAAACGCCACACCTGTCTTTCAGCGCGCTCGACGGGTATTTTATGCCCTGCGCCCTACCGTGGAGGAAGAACTAAAGCGATTGGAAAACGAAGGAGTTCTTAAACCTGTGGAAGTGAGTGACTGGGCCACACCTATTGTCTGAGTGCCTAAAAAACGGTGGGTCAGTTCGTATTTACGGTGGTTACAAGGGCACAGTCAACCCAGCAACCTTAACGGAGCAGTTCCGGAGGAAATACGAGGACGTGTACCGTCCTGGAAGAAATTACGAACGTACTGAAAATGTACTGGAACGAGGAGGCACGAAAACTTTGTACTATTAACACCCACAAGGGTTTATTCCAATATACACGCTTGCCATGCGGAATTTCATCCAGCCCTGCAATTTGGCAACGATTCGTTGAGCAAGTGTAAGCAGGCTTGACGGAACATGTGTCACTATGGACGATCTGTCAGTGGGAGGCTCTAGCGACGAGGAGCATATGAGGAGAAGTTTGGCCGGTGGGTTAAGTTACCAAAGTGCGTGTTTATAGCACCTTCTGTTTCGGGCTGCGCTTTTCAGAGCATGGTCTTCGACCGACCGACGAAAAGGTCAAGGCCATCAAGGAGGCACTTATCCCTCGTAACGTAACCGAACTGCGTTCCTTTTTGGGAATGTTAGCTGCGCTGACCAACTTCATACCCAAGTTGTCAACGCTCGCTCATCCCCTATACGAACTCATTGGGACCATAACTTGGAACTGGTCGCCGAACTGTGAAAAAGCCTTTTGTGCTGTAAAATGCGCCCTGACGTCGGCAACTATGTTGGCGCACTACGACCATAAGCTTCTTGTGGAAATTTCGGTCGACGCCTCTCCATATGGCTTGGGGGCCGTTATAATGCACGTTTATCCCAATGGAAACCGTCGCCCGATTGCCTACGCGTCACGAACTTTGAAAAAACACTAAAAACGCAACGGGCAGATAGACAAAGATTGAAGCTTTGGCGATTATGTTCGGCCTAAAACGGTGTCACTTGTACCTTAACGGCCATCATTTCACGATCCTCATGGATCATGAGCCGCTGGAGCGAATTTTTGGTCCCCAAGACAGCTATTCCCTCATAGGCAGCCATGGGTCTTCAACGTTGGGCCGTGATACTGTCAGCATTCAATTACAGCATTACAGATTTGTATCGAAGCAAAATGCAGTGGCTGACGCGCTATCACGACTGCCCTTGCCCTCCACGTTTAACGGAGAGGATGCCATTTATAGAGTGGAAGAACTTCTGGTTCACTCGTTACCTATTACGCACAAGGAGATAAGCTTCGCTACGCGGGTTGACCCAGTACTATCTAGTGCGTCAGAGTTTGTCAAACAAGGATGGTCACGAGATGTGGAAGATCTACGCCTCCACCCTTTTTCACTGAACCGCTGATTTGAGTTATCGGTAGAGCAAGATTGCGCTAGAATCACCCTTTTCTATCCTTTCAATGAATCATCATCCCTAGGGCACTTAGACCAGAAATCGTCCTCAGAAGCCATGAAAGTCACCTTGGCATTGAAGCATGGCTAAGAAAAGCTCGAGATGCCGTCCTTTGGCCCGGAATGAACGGTGAGATAAGGGAAGCAATTGCAAAGTGTTCTGTGTGTGCAAAGTTTCAAGTGGATAACCCCATAGAACCAATGCAGACATCGAAAGTTCCAGATCTTCCCTTCAGCAGACTTGCAGTTGACACGTTCACCCTTCACAAGAAAGATTACATCGTCCTAATGGACTATTATTCAGACTTTGTGAAAGTCCAAGAGCTTAATGACAGCCTCACCGACCATCTTTCAGTTTCTGAAGGAACAATTTAGCAGGCACGGAATCCCAAATGTTCTCGTTTCAGATAATGGCCCACAAATAACAAGCCAAGAATGCAGGACACCACAGGGTGGGAGTTCAAACATGTAACAAAGATTCGTGGCTAGCTATACTTGAATATAGAAACACGCCTGTGGATACCATAGATCCAGCCCAGTACAGAGACTCATGTCTCGAAGAACGAAGATGCTCAGAGACTGGAGCGGAGACTGGTCGTGAAATCATTCGTCGCAACAGCTAGTTTCTCAAACCACAGGAACAGTCAGCAGCAGATGGTGGTCTGGAAACTTCACACAAAGGTACCAAGTTTGTTTGGAGTACCTTTTCTCGCAGTGCCTATCCAAACAAAAGTTAGCCCGTATTTATCGGATCCTGCACCTGGTTCCGTAACTAATCCTGTACTTGATCCTGCACCTGATCTTGTACCTCACCCTAGACCCGTGAAGCGTACTCGTACCAGAATCTTTAAAAGCCGCCTAATAAGTTCAAGGACTTAATTTTAACTATTCAGATTTAAATGGACACAGAATCGCTGAATTCAGAACTCGATAAGTTTGTACTAGTTTACTTTTATTTTCATTTTATTTTTGTTGTTTTTCAAAAAAAAAAAGGAAGATGTTACGATATTTGCATATTTTATTTGATTGCGTCAGAGTTTTGTATTTCCGCACCATTTACATATTTGGTAGTTAAATTCAGTTTCTCAAGCAACATCAGACCAGACGAGACGTAAAATATGACGCTGAGCTCGAAGTTAATTTTTTTTAACGTAATTTTGGTTCCTTACTTCCTCTCGTTGAAAGGAGAAATACTGAATCTCAAAGCTGATGACCCAGGCGTCCTTGATGCACTTGATTTTGCCATGAATGAACTCAACGCTATGGGGAACAACTTGTATCGCTTGATGTCCACCAAAGTTGAGGACGCCACTGTGCAGGTAAAAACGCAGCTTTGTTTGGATCGATATAGATACATAGAAGTTATCTAATTGCGGATTTTGCATACCTTACTAATAGTGAACAGAGTAATGATTACTCTTTGTTAAGAATCTTTGTGCAAGAGGTTCGATCGATGTTGAATTCTATCACTGTGGCCTTCGAAAGGGAATCTTGATGACATCTTGTCGCTCGTTACCAAACGGTCAGTGTAAAACGCATATCGCAGATTGTGGACCGATGGTAAAATGCACTCGATTCTTTAGTTGAAATTTACCGGTATGGAAAATTCTGGTTTCTCTA